TTCAAATTTCAAAGGGACCGCCAAAGTGCCGAAAAAGGACTACCCACGTAACTTTGTTTGCGGGGGTTAAGGTAAGTTTTAACAATTCGTCGTAGCTGTCTTCGAATATTTTTCTTTTGTATATCTACATACTTTCAGTGGTTTGTAAGGATCTTCACAAAGGAATGCAAGAGAAATGTAACATATACATGTGAATTTCAAAGTATGTTACTTGTGACGTTAGCTTATTATGAATAATATTATTTATAGCATAATGAAGTCTAAATGAGTAATCACTGTAATAAGGTTGATTGCTATAGATTGATTTTCACGGATTATTCTAATGCGTAATTAAAGTTTGTATAACCAAAGTCTGAATATAATCAGAGTTACAATAAATACATAAATAAATAAATAAATGAATATATATCTATATATATATTTATTTTTTAGAGAAGAAAAATTTATCTTTCTCTCTTTTTAGAGAGAACATAAGACTTGATTAATGATTATTGTGCCTCATTGTCGACAATACTGTAGAAATTTCTGTGATCGAACCGAGACCATGAATGGTCTAAGCAAACAAACCTGGACTGTTCACACCTATACAGATAGGTAGTAAATTAATTGGCAACCATAAAATTGTTTTACGACCGTCGTAAAGTTGCTTTTCCTATAGAATAGTATAGAATCCTATAGAATATAGAAAGTTGCTTTTCCTATATCCTATTTCATAAAATACACGTCATTTTATTGTTATCTATTTTTCGCAATACGAATTGCCTATTTTAATTTCAATGAGAGTTCCGTCGCTTACTGTGTTATATCTCCTGACAATTTGATCTTCCTGACAAACTGAACGTGAACAAGGGATTATCTAAAACAATATACAATGTTCATATCACAATGTAAAGGATTTATGACTAAATGGCATAACGTTATTCTAAAACACGTTTCATCGGTTGAGAGACACTATACAAAATTATTTGATAAGATTATTAGGTCCAGTAGGATTTAATTCAACAATACGTGCGTATAGATAAGAAACTTTAACACACGCGTTAAGGAAATTTCCAACAATGTTCAACTCTTTCGACCTTGTCGTATCTATTATATGGCGTGACGACCTTCCAAAGTCATGTTATCATGGTGCCATGTTATAGTTAGCCATGCCGTGTTAGGTAAGTCATGGTACCATGTTATAGTCACAATTTTTGACACGCGAATGTTAAATTCGAGTTTCTCTTCTATTTCTTTTACATCTATTCTTGGGACGAAAGGACATTTTACTTTAAGAAACAACTTACATTCTAAGAACACTTTAAAAAGAACTGTTCGTAACAATTATTTGCTTCAGAAAGTAAAATGTTACCTTAGACCTATTATGCCGTGTATCCTAACATTGTGACACGCCTATGCACATACATAGGCACACGCCTAATATGGTATGTGCTCTTTGTACAGTGTTGGCATTTTTACGAAAGTCTCGAATGAATACTTATCAGAGGTAACTTGTCAGAAATGCTTATCAGAAACAGCTTATTCATTGGCCTCGACGATACGCGCACAAGTAACAAAGTAAAATTGATAAAAATATACAAAAAAACTGCATTAATAGAAATATTTCGAAATATTTCATTAAATAATTCTCTCAGCTATTTGTAAATAGAAAAAATTGTAATAAAAAATTAAAGATCAATGGGCACTTCAACTTTACAATATATAATTACTGTGATTTAGATTGTTACGCTTTTCGTTAAATAACTTTCAAAATATAAACTCTATTTAATACCCAATGTCGACATAAAATATTATGTCGAAATAGAAAAATAATAGAAAAAAATCTGGAGAAGGAAAATTTTGTGCATGTATGCGTTGCATGTTTTTTAAATTTCTCCTGAAGGTCATGAATATTACGCTGTTATGTACTATGTGCAAAAAGAAAATATTACTTTCTACAATAATTTTACAACTTCTTATCGTATCTTTTATTTGCACTATCTTTTATCATTGTAACATCTCAGATTTCAGATCAAATGAAACAGGATTTCAGAAGGAAGATCCGAGCTGGATCAGGTACAAAAAGATCTCTCGACACAGGCCATTCTAGTTAGGATACACCATAAAATACACAATAACTAAGTTACACAACAAGATATTTTTTGTCCTTTAGGGTCAATTTACGTGAGTCAATCGTCAAGTGCTATTAGAAAGTAGAAACAATTTTACTACGACCAGCTGATAGTTCATTCACAGGCCATATTCTAGACATGCTTGCCTAGTAATTTAACGGATCCGTTTGCGCAATTCCAAATTTTGTTTCTCTTCTACAAAAGTCAGGTATAATGTTAGTTTAACATAAGGACCAGAAAGATACATCTACGGTTCATTATACGATCCTGGAACGCGTACGCGTGAGTTAAAGGTACCCAAAGATCTTTCAATGATAAAATTCACTACAATTGTAAAATTAAGAAATGCGACAGCATCCCTTGTAAAAGCATCTCATTAAAAATTAATGAGAGGGATAAATTGTTGCGCGTTAAAAATATATAAAAGACATTGCGATGTCTCGCAACAACCGACAATGTTTCGCTAGTAACTCTGTTTGGTATCAGAGAAAGATCGAAAAATGTTGTCTTATTTAGACTCCGAAATTATAATGGAACACACTTCGTCGCGACTTTTCGGTTGGATAAATTTGTTACATTTTTTTTATATCGTCGAAGAAAGGACAGAGCGCCTCGGTGCGCGGTGAAGCGCACTCACAATTCGCCCGTGCCACGGACAATGCCGCTATATTGTGAAAATATTGATTGCAATTCGCCAACAATGGAGACAATGCCACCGACTTCGCTGTCGTGGCGACACTCTAAAAAAAGAGCGGCTTGAGTGTCGTCTTCTCCGCCATGATGCTGCTGCAGTCGCGGTGCCGCCCTATACACATAATGCATATACCGGAAGTAAAGACATTCGAAACAATGGCCTCGATGTTAGAAACTAATCGACCTTTCATTTATTTGCGGATTGCGGTTGTATATATATATATATATATCTCTCTCTCTCTTTTTGTAGGAACGGTTTATTTGTCAATTGCCACGAATATGTTCCGTATGCAGTTTCTACGGATAGAGGATGCACCACCGACCCTCAACTTAAGTGGTGCACCCCGGCGAGTTTCTTTTTCGCGCTGACGCGGTGTCGAGTTGAAACCGCAGTGGCGCGCGTGCGACCGCAGCATTTAAATATTTTTCACTCTCGAAAGATCGGGAAGATAAGTGGGCGACCGGCTTCGTGCTCAGCAATAAGCCACGACGCCACTCGAACGTTCCTAGTGTACGTGTGTAATTCAAAGTCGAACCTGCTGACGCGCTTCAGACATTGTCCGAATGTTCGACGAAATAAGTGATAAAAAACTGACACAAAAGAAAGAATTGTTCCTTTTCTGGGTATCTTAAAAAAAGACCGAAAAAAAAGAAAAAGAAAAAAGGAGAACTAACTCAAACGGAAAACATTCCATGTGCGAAACATTCTTCAGATAAATAAAGAAAAAAAATCACGACAAATATGCTCTCTCAATTTTCATGCCTATCACAACACCGAATGTCGCGCTACATGATGATGCGACTCTTACATCATACAAGATCATGAGCAAGACAAGTCATAAATCAGAGTCTAAAAATTAGAGTCTAAAATTGTGCGTTATGCTAATTTCAAGAGCGCTATTCGCTGTAGCCAGTGTTAAAATAAATACGCCAGCTCCGACGTTCTTTTACAAGCAACGTTTTTACTCCCCACCGCGTGATACAGAGATAATTCCTGCTTTGCAGAATCGCTCTAGAAATGCGCTTTAAAGTATAACGCGCGAGCGAGTTGCACAGCGCGCCCGACTAGACATTAAAACGAAAACGCGATATTTTAGCCGAGAGACACGTTATATTTTGTAGACTGCACGATATACATGCATGTTCTTTACCTACCTCCTCCTTCTTGGACAATGGTAATGTTATTTCAACAGATATAATTTGTTTATATAATAACACTACGTGAAACATGCACACTCGGCACGCAGCATAAAATAGGATTCGTGTTGATAAATATTTGGAAATTTAGAGGTACTGACACACACTTAAATCTTCAATAGATATCGAAGGATATCAATGATCGTGCACGATTCAAACATATAAATCAACGTGTTCGTTAAAAACGCGTCGTATATATTTTGTTATAGTCGAGAATCGCCTACGAAACGGCGGAGGCGGCAGATGCCGCCGTTAGTGACGGGCTTGCTTGCTTTTTTTCTTCCTTATTTTTTTCTCTCTACTCTGTTCTACGCCAGGAAGGATAAGCGGCGAGAGCAGGAGGCGAGCGATTACGTAAAGTGTGGCGGCATTTAGCCCGGCTAATTGCGCGAGAACCGCGGCGAAAGGGAAGGCAACGCGCGCGCGTTGTCGCATGTGATGTCCCTTTGACACGCGACGCCGACTTATTAGTAACGCACGCGGCCAGCATATGTCGCCTTTCGGAGTATCGGCTCTCTCGATCCGTTCTAATACCTGGACGTTAGGCAATTTGTGTATCTACTTTCCGTACAGCGCATGTGCGATATTATTATACGCGTTTGTGAAATTGCACTTGAGAAAGTCGCAAGAAAAAACATGCAACTCACATGTCATTACACCGAGAGAAAACAGTTGTCGATAAAATATTGATAATTTAGAAAAACAATTTCAAGACGAATATGAGATATTCATGTTTTGAATGTTTCATCGTTACCTTTCATTGAATTGTAATAAGCATAATGATGAATAAAGAGAAATGTGAAAAAATAGATATTAACAAAACACTGAAGATTTGAAATAATTATCTTAAAATAACATACAAAATGTATTCTTATTTCTAATATTTCACTGCTATCTTATTTGCAGTAATATGATAGAAAGAATAAAATGTGTGTCTATACCTATAGAACATAATCATTATGATGCAATAATACATATGTGAATATAAAGAAACAACTTACTCATCGAATACTGAGACAGCTATCTCCTAACACCAAATGTAGTTGGAACCTCATTGCCACAACTTTTCATAACAAGCAGTCCTATGTGATTTCGAATACTGCAAAAATGGAACAACCCATTACTTACATGACGTAATGATAGCTCAAGATTTCATGTACCATTAATAACTGTGATTTATTTATGCCAAATAAAAGTATATAAAATATACGAGAAATGTGAATATCAATATAATGCTGATGATTTAGAATAATGATTTCAAGACAACGTACAGAATGTATTTCTGACATCTAATTATATCATTCATAAAACACGCTAGAACGCGAGAACATGAATATTATGACGCGATAATAAATATGCTAGCGTGTACATGATTGCGAAGATAAAAAAAATAATTCATTTACCGAATCACAAGATGGCCGTAATCGCATAAAAATTGGGCTAGAATTCGACGCCGCAATCTCTTCACGACGATCAGCCACGCGCGAACGTGGCGAATACTAAATGAACAAAAAAGACAATTTGTTACACAATGTTATAATAGTTTGAGATTTTGCGTACGATAATTGCACTGCTTTAATTGTGATAAATAGAAACGTACACACGAATGTGAAGAATAACCGCCAGTTCCCTCAATGTGGATCACCGCGACATCTGTCGTGCTCCGCGCGTTCTATTTGCAGAGAGCCTGTTACCGGCCGATACGATTACCGATATAGTTGCTACGTCTTGCTATCCATAACCTTATTGTTTGCTAGAATAATTACAACATACTTTAAAGCATAGCTTTCATATATGGCGAAGTCAATACCACACACATTATACAATTCCACAAATATAAAATAACAAAATCAAGGAAAACTTTCTAGAATCATTCCACATACGTGTCGAGAACGTCCCGAGTGTTTCTAGAAAGATCTCAGAACGCTATGCTATCAAGCGAGGTTACGCTATCAAGAGACTGAATAATTATTCGGTTCTACAAGTGTCGATACTAACAAAATGGCTTCTTAATGGATAACGATGTAAAGTGATCTCATGCAACGTGACTACTCTATATTTTTTGCTTGCCTATAACTCATATATTTCTCACTTTTAATAGATATCTGTTTTTTATTTTCTAAAATGTCTTAATGATTTGCCAATTATACATATAAAATAAGGATAAAATCGTGGAGATATAGAATATATGCAGTGAATAATATTACTATACATATCAGCGACCATGAAGGTCTTAAGGGGTTAACTTCATGAGTTAACCGCGGAACACGTTCGTCATTAGGGACATTGTAAGTGCCGATAAATGATTAATCGTGAGTATAAAACATAGACGAATTGTATAACATACGATATGCGCTTGAATCTGCGATATTTTTCGTTTTATGAATATAAATATACCTCAGACGCAAGGACTGTGCTCCTTCGCCGATCGTGGCCGAAATCAAAATGGAAGACTTATTGCATTTGTACGATACACTTGAAATTGCCGAGGAATAGACATCGAACGTAACGATCGAGAGGTGCGTATGATCGTGCGTTATTATTTGCTTTGATTTTTCGTATCTTACGAATCCGTGCTTTTTATTCATCCGATTTTATATATTCTAATGTATTTCGACGCATATATAATAAATATTTTCACATTCCTATAAATTATGAAGCTAATTCGATATATCGCATTTTGATGTTGAATGTAACGTTCGATACATCGAATCTAATTCATTATACAATCTTAGCACGAACATGATTCGATCTCTCTTTTAACACAAGAGAGAAATATCCTGTAATTAATTAAGTTCAATATGTTGACTTAAGTTAAGATCAAAGGACGATGTTAGCCATCGTGGATTAATCCGAACTCTTTGGAAAAAGTTCTTTTCAGATCTGCAGTGAGGAAAAAAAAAAGAGAGAAAACGCGATGGTGCGCCATCCGGCAGTCTGGAGCGCGTCTATCGGGCAGAAACGACCATCAGGCGAGATGCGTTTCATTCCATCGGCAATTTTCTCAAATCAACGAGCCACCGTGAAAACGGCCGGCCTCCTCTCCGCCCCGATGTCGCAAACAAAACGCCTCTCCATGCACTCGCGAAATGCTCCTCAATGGAATCTACGTGCGTCGAGCGCGCCGTGCACGCACTCGGCCGAGCGGCCCGAAATTGCTCGATCGCGCTTTTTGTTTGTGGTCACTCTTGAAGCTGGCTAGGACAAAAGAGTGCCCCCCAGTGTCGATACGTTTTCGCTTTGCTCGAACGTTTCTACCGTTTTTTCTCTCTCTCTCTCTCTCTCTCTCTCTCTCTCTCTCCATTTTCTCTTTCTCTTACCCCTCTCTTTCCCGCTTTCTCCGTGATTACACCCCTCTTTGTGGCGGCCGCACTCTTTTTTGAGTTTCGAAAACTGCAAGAGCATTGTTTCGTCACTGCTCCTCCGGGTCGAAGCGATTACTTGTTTTCCCATTCGACCCGAATCACCTCGCAGACGAAACGGTCCGCCAGCCGGGCACTATTCGTAAACCGGCTTCCTTTTGTTCGAGCGCGCTCACCGCGAGCGCGACTCACGACTCGCCGGTGCATTCTGCGGAGAATCGAGAATTTCGTTGTTGATTCAGCAAAATCTCTTGCCGCAGACGCAAGTACCTCTCACGAGCAGATACTAGAATGAGAACGGAAAAAGAAAACAGCTTTTATTTTCGAATAAATAATCCATCTGGGATCTTCATTTTCAGAGAGAGTGTCATTAGCTATTGATCTGAATTATTTATCGGATGTAACATGATTCGTAATTGAATGATGTTTCTTTCGGTTTGAATATGCTTAACAGAAGGAAATAAAAGAATTTAATGCAAATTGTTTTCATTGATAAAAGTCACAGCAAGCAAAGAAGACTCACACCGTGAAAATCAATTAATACGTTGCATATCAGCACAAATGAAACGTGTACAAAGATCAAAGTTATAATTCTTATCTTATCATAATGAAGAGAGAGAGAGAGAGATTTGACGAGTATTTAAGCTGTTCGACGCTAAATAAACAACAGCGACGTATATCAAGACTTTCTCAAAGAAATAATTAATCAGAACGTCGAAGGTCTCAGTACAGTCATCTTGCGGATGAATCAGCGGAGAGTAACTGCAATTCGACTGAGGCGCACGATGTTTTATCTCGTATGAATCTTAAAATTTCGCTCATGTAGTAGATATACATATTTATGCGCTGATAAGACGCTGAGCGACGTCCGAAAATCATCTGGACAGTATAACCGAGTCCCAAGCGCTACTTTGAGACCAGTGAAGCCTCTTCGAATCGCTTCATTTCGAAATCCATCTCGTTTTCTCGAGATGAGCAATAATGATCTGTGGATACGCGACATACTCGCGAGCTACGGAGTGGTTGCGATGATCATCTTGTGTCTCGTGATCTGGATAATTCGGGAACTGCCGAAACTGCGGAGGAACACCTACAAGGCTCATCTTTTGGGATTTGAAATGGAATGCGCCGAGCTGGCTAGTCCGTATAAGGAACATCTCTTCAAAACGTTACAGTGTATTGTTTCCAACGACGAGATATTGCAGTCCATGGGCTCCATCCGCGTACTTGAAATCGGCGTTAAGACGGGTGTGAATCGGACTTGCATACGGTATTCTCTTGTGATTTTACAATGCACTTATGATGCACAAATGAAATGCTGCTGATTGAGAAAACCGCTTCGGGAGCTTCCCTATGTATTCCAAAGTTTCGTTTTAATTATTTCAAATTTCTTCAATGAGAACTACTGGTATCTTGAGAAAAATGACTCTACGTTGAATAAATAAACTGTCTCTCCGTGGTTTTGAGTGAAAACATACGCTTCTATAACTTCCTCATGATAGATATTTTTCTACATCAACATACAAACATATCGGCGATGTATTTTTTGATATTCGACATAATACACGACTCGACTGATCACACAACTAAATAATAAATGTTAACGACTAATTCATTCTATCATGCTTTAAAAAATCACAAGATATACAATTGTAAAAAATACTCCTGTTATTATCATACATTCATCCTACATGAACTAAAATGTTATTTAAAGAATTATACATTTGACATAGAATCTTCACAGGTGAAAATATACGATTTTACCCGGAGGGTACTCATCTCATCGGTGTCGATTGGAACACCAAGCTAGGCGAATATCTGGTGAAAGGTGGACGTTCGTGGCAATTTTCTCATGTAATCATTGAGCGACTAATTGTGGGTGATGGAAGTTCCTTGAAGGGAATACCAACGGGATGCGTGGATGTGGTGGTGACAACTCGATCATTATGTTCTGTGAAATCAGTGCGATCTACCCTGCAAGAAATTCGTAGGGTACTAGCTCCGGTATGACTGATTTCCATAAAACCGTAAATTGTGAGCTGAAATCAAAACTATACTTCGTGCAGTTATTACATATCGAAAGGAAAACGAAATAAACTCCAGTTAGTTGAGATTGCGTATTTAATTATCTCTTTTTATAGATAATAATTTAATTCGGTTAGTTAAATGTGAAATGGATACCGATTGTTAAAGAAATATATAATTCATACTACTACATACTAATTACAAAATGTTAGTATATATATATATATATACGTATTTCAGCTTTCGTTGTGAATTTTCAGGGCGGAAAATATATTTTCGTGGAACACTTACCAGAGAAAGAGGGCACTTTTGTACGATGGTTACAAATAGGCTTGACACGCACAGGCATATGGCCTTCTCTATTTGGCGATTGTCGCTTAGACGCTGATTGTGTTGCGGAAATAGAAAATATCGGTTTCGAGAAAGTATCGTGGACATCCTTAGCTCTGGAAGGATATGTTTCCCACCCGCTTCATTTGTTTCTGTCTAGACAACATGTATTTGGCATAGCAACGCGATAGAGATAATATATCAATAATAAACAAGTTATAAATTCTATCAATTGCTTTTTATATATTATTTATATAATTAAATTTTAATTTATATATATATATATAAATTATTCCTAGATTATATTATATTTACAATATTATCTTATTTAATAATATTATATTATATTAACAAATCATAATTATAAATTATAATATAATATTTATAATTATGTAATTATAGTTATAACAATAATTACAAAATATGATTTATAATTATATTTCAAATATTTATAATATTTATAATATAATATAATAATTATAAATATAATATTTATAATTATAAATATATTTCAAATATTTATAATTATATTTCAACTGCATTATATAAGATTAAAAAAATGATGACAAAAAGATTAATTTTGAAATATATTAAATATTTTAAAAATACTAAATAGAATAATTGTGTTAGGTATAATCAAATGTCTTATAATTAAAATGTTTTTAGTAAAATTTTATGTTTTATATAAAATTAAAAAGCTGAAGAAAGAACTATAAAGAACTTGTATCAAAATGATAAAATATGCTTGGGGAAACTATTGGAATCAGACATAATAAACTTATTAATACACATCGGTACAATATAATATACAAAACAATAATATACAAAATATCTTTTTTTCTTTCATTCTTTTCTCTTCTTTCTCTTATTTTTATTATGCTTGGAAGTAGTCTTATATTCAAGTACGTTGCTTAGTTTTATAGTGCAGCCTTTGCAGGAGATAAAATATATCGTTTGTATAATATACATAGTTTGTATAAGATACATAGTAATTCTTCTAAAAAATTTATTTCTATTTAGATAAAATTTATGCTTACAGAGTGCGTACAAGACAATCTTAGTTTTATCTTATCACCTAAACCTGTATATTTCCATTCTGTGCTCCAATTGTCATAAAATGTAATCATAATACAACTGCGAATATTATACAAACGATATATTGTTTAGTTCATATATGGGAATACCTTAAATTTAATGTATCTAATAGGACAATATATATACATTTTAATCATGTTAGACATGTTATGGCTTACATATATCTGAATACCCAAATATTGAAATAAATTTTGTAGCTTTACAATTTGAGTTACTGGTTAGATGAAATATATAGTTTTGTGCAATTTTGTTCTCTACCTGTAAAACATGATTCTAATGCAAACGCAATTGATATTAGATGTATCCGCAATATCCTGATATGATCTATCATCAATCTGCTCGCATATTGATGATATTTATTTACGTTTTACACAATAAATTTATATATCGAATCTCTTTTGTACATTTATAAATTTTACATAAATATATATGATAAATATTATCACGAAGTTATATAGAGTAGATGCTAACAATACTCGCTTGAATCCGAATCATAGTAACTTTTTGTCTGAAATACCAATGTCTTGTTTATTGCAGATTCAACATTGCATTGCTGACTGACTTGTGAATTTTTCAAATTATGTTTCTCAAGTATCTGTCTATTTCGTAACTTATGGTCATTACTCTGAAAGGAAGTATCTGAAAGTTTGTTATCTTTTTGTACGAGTGCGTCTCGTATATCATTTATTATAATAGAGAAATTAGGCATAGTTCTCATCGTAATACTATTATTATTAAGCTTTTCGTCAAATTGTTCGTTTGTGTTAGCTACTGTGTGAACTGATGATTTCAATATCTTTCTTTTATTGTGCATTCTGTTTACAATATTGCGTCCTTTGATAGAATCTAATGAATCTGATCGTTTACTAGTATGCATTTTCGCATGAGAACCATTATAAAGTCTTTCCTTGTCATGTACGGAAATAGTTGTTGACTTATGATTAGGTGTGATATCACTGTTGCTTCTATCAGAATCTGAGGATTGTGTATTGAATGTTTTAGTTTGGAAGAGTGTGACGCAAGTATCATCCTTACGATTTATCCCATTCTTCTTGATCACTTTGTTTAGATGTCTTTCGTTACTTTTGCTTATATTTTTACTGTTAGAAAACACATAACTTTTTCGTCGTCCATTTACATTATTGGTACTCTCACTACTATCACTACTATCATTACTACCACTCCTGTTTGGGAAGAGCGAGATTCTCTTAGCATTCTCTTTGCACATTTGGAAAGAGTGACTTGATGATGCCGCATCACTGTCAAAGGATTTCTTTTCAATGTCACTTCGCCTATTTCTCCGTCTTATCGATCTATTGACCTTTCTCAAATTATTCCGCTCTGAAGAATAAATTATTGTGCTTGTGTTTTCACTGGATTTACGTTTATCTTTGTTCGTACTAACTAATTTAGCCTCGTCATATAAACTTTTTTTTGTAATATGAGTTTTGCCTGTTTCGTCTTTTATTAATGTTTTCGATTTTTTTTCGAGAGGTTGTATCAATCGGACAAAATCTTCCTCGTCTGATGAGATATTTAAAACTGATAATTTTCTACGCTTGGCCCGGCTTATTCGACTATCATGATTTTTATACCGTAATGTGAAGTTTGATTCTGTTTTATCAGAAATTTTATTATCATGCTTTGCAGAATCACTGGACGTATTGTTTATTTTACCAGAACTTTTTTTAGATGTGTTATGTATTCTTAATGAATAACGATTGTTAATTTTTTTAATCCTTCGAACACGTTTCCTTTTACTTTCACCATCCGGACTTCCAATCATATTTTTAGATTTTTCTTTTTTATTATTCATGTTTTTATCCTGCGAAATTTTATTCTTATCAGCAGGAAGACTCATATTTAGATCATTGCTACTTCTCTTAAAATCAATATCCGCTGGTAATCGCTCTAATACAACTTTAACTTCCCGAGATTTGATGTAATCCTTAATATTTATTTTATGCGAGTTCGAGGAATCCATTTTACGCTTATTTCGTAGCCTTTCTGATCTAATAGAAAGATCATCATTCACATTTTGAATGTCATTCATATTTTGATTTGTGATCTGCCTTGTATTTGTATATTTCTCAATTATCAATTGTGGTATTTGCTCTAGTATTACAAATGCTTCCTTGATCTGATTCATATTGCCATTTTTCAAATTCGTCGATTTTTTGTTGTTCCCTTCTACATTCATAACAGAACCATACTCTTCAGTACTTAGTCTCAGGTGGAAAGAACTATATGAAGATGAAGAATCTTGCAATGCGGCACTGGTACATTCACAAATAAGAATAGTACTTTGGTTACTTGGATGATCAGTGATCATCGACATCAATTCCAAATTTTCCTTGTTAGAGTGATGTAATTTTAATATACATGGATCATTATGGACTCTGTTTTCTTGCGTAATATCTTCTTTCTGGGCAGATGTCGACTTATATATTTTGAGAGATGGAATCTGCTCTAAGGAAACTACTGGATTTAAATCAAAGAAAGTTAAATTGTATTTTTGTATTATGTTTCTCATTGACACGTTAATATCATTGTTCATGATTAAATTATCATTGTCTCTTTTGTCTACATTATTAGGGGAAGCCAATAAATTCTGTAAGGAATTGTCAACTACGGAATTTACAGTATTATTATTATTTGATATATTTGCTCCATCATTGGTAATATTTTTGTCAGAAACAGAACGCTTTCTCCTTCTTTTAGCCCGAACTTTTTTAGAGTCAAGAGTTTTTTTGTTGGAAATAGACCGCTTATTTTTATCTTTGTGAACTACAGATTTTTCTTTTCTAAACGAATTATCTGGATCTAAAGCAGGATGTGAATTTAACTTAGTATTAGATGAGTTAGACTGTTTTAGATCAGTACTGTGTCTTTCAAATAGTATCAAATCTACAGGAGAATTCCTACCAGTATACAATTTCTTACGATGAAGCGGCATTAGATTAGCATCTTTCCCAACAGTTTCCTCCATATCTACTGAAACTGGTTTCTCACTGAAACTATGTTCTCTTGAAGTTTTACTTTTACCTGAAGTGTCCTTACTTTTATCTTCTATGGACAATCGTTTTGATGCCTTGTTAAAATGTCGAAAAATTGATACAATATTGTTTAAATTGGTTTGACTAGTACTCAAGGCATTTGTTTTACTTAATGAATCACAAAGTGAACTCGGTGAGGATACCTCAGGCTGTGTTGTGCTACTAGATACTAATGTATTAATGTCCAATTGATTATTAGTTTCTGTTGTTACATTTTCCATTGAAAGATGAAAATCGTTATGTGAAACATCATTACTGTTTTCATTACGTATCACATGGTCAGTCACTATAGTCTCTATACACTCTGTTTTATCGTTTTTATCGTTACATTTAAGCTTTGCACCATTAACACAATCATTTTCTGAAGATTTAACACCATTGGATTTTGCACCTTCTATGATAGCTACAATATCTGCCTTTTTTGTAATATTTGCATTTGATAATATATAAGCTGCTGTATCCACAGAACTGAAAGACGTGTTGTTCTCATGTTTGTTTTTATCACTTTCATTTACCTTGTTTGAAAGTGAAGAACATGATGGGGAAATAATTTCTTCCTCACTTAAAGATGTACCAGATTCAGATAATTCTTTTTTGTCAAGAAGTGCTTTATAAGGTGTATTTCCAGTATTTATCCAATACTGTACCAATGTTGCTGGTTTGCGCATAGGTACTCGCTGTCCATAGCTATATTCTTTCTCATTATATTCTTCTTCATCTTCTTCAGGTTCCAAAGTCATTACATTTAATTCTATATCATCTGACATCTAGAAAATATAACTTTTTATACTAAAATACAATCATAAATTGATAGAAATTTTTAAGCATGACTCATATAAAAGTATAAGTAAAAATATACTTGTTCTGAATATTTATCAAACAAATTGTCCCAGGTTTTCACTCTATTCTTAAAGAGTTTTGCAGGTACTTGAAAATTACCTAGTTTGTTTTTGGCTCCTGTAATCCTGTGTACAAAATAATAACAGTTTTCTTTTTTATAAATAATGTAACATAAGAGAGAGAGAGAGAGAGAGAGAGAGAGAGAGAGAAAGAAGGTTATCAGCATATAAATACATTTATTAAATACATAAACCACTCATTATGTACCACATTAACCTACCTTTCAATACCTTGGTGATACGACTGGGACAGAAAATCATTATTAAGATTTTCATCCGTCAGGGGATTTTCCATAATTTGTTTTATACCATCACATTAATAAAATTAAACAAGCTATATGTAAACAAACTTATTAATTCATACTATTCATACTTTGAATAACAAGTTTTGTCGATCTTACACCACATAGCACTTCATTTTGAAGGTGCAGATAAAATACGTCTCTTCTTTTTAACTAAAGCCTATATCATACGGTACTTCTTGCGGGTGTGTATCTATTCGATACAGTAAAATTGGACATAAAGTAAATGATTGGTTGGATCTAGTAATTACCCAAATAATACTTTACACTGGTCAAAGCCAGCGATACTTTTTACACGATGCTTTTTTCGTGCTGGATTGCTTGCTGAATAAAAATACTGCGTTCTGATTGGTGCATTTCCATCCATCTTCGGAAATGCACTAATCAGAACGCAGTATTTTCATGCAGCAAGCAATCCAGCACGAAAACAAGCACCATATGCCGCTGGCTTTAGGTTGGTACATTTCCAATCGTTGTGTCCAATCGTGCTGTGTTGATTGGGTGTCCCCCGATTCATTTAAAGCCAGCGGCACACGGTGCTGGTTTTCGTGCTGGATTGCTTGCTGGATGAAAATACTGCGTTTTGATTGGTGCATTTCCATCCATCTTCGGAAATGTACCAATCAAAACGCAGTATTTTCATCCAGCGAGCAATCCAGCACAAAAACAAGCACCGTATGCCGCTGGCTTAACATTTGCAGATAAACTTAAGAACGTATCCCGTATGTACTACAGATTTTTCAGGCTTAAAAATTGGTCAATAATCAGCCGATTATTCTTGTGAAACTCAACAAGAAAATGACTAATCGAAATTGATTATTCTTGCGGCCGAAAAATATTCACTTAAAAAAAGACATTGTACGCCTCTACAAACTTCTCTTGATTATAAATATCATTATATGGTAATTCTTAATATATTTTGGTTAAAAAACAAGAAAAGTCTTTGCGTACTTCGTGGATCTCCACGAGAGGCCTCTGTAGATTTTCCTGTAAATTCTTAAATATAACATCCGGTTATGAATGCCGCTTTATAACGCTATCTATTTATTTTTATTCCATGCCACACGACTGACACCTTAACGGTCCTTATTTGAAAGAATCAAAGGACGAAGCAACTTCGATTTAGAACATTAAGGAATTAATAGAATCATGTCGGAGATTAAAGACGATCCGCGAGAAGTTCTTGTTCTTCTGAATTCGTTAGGATTTGTCGGCATTACGGCAGCCCAATTAAAAGCTTTTATGAAAGGTAACTATATCGACTTATGTACTTACGATGTTTTATTTTTTTTTTACTTGTACCATTTTTATCTCAATGTTGAGATAATATTGTTTTCTTATTGTAATGAGATTGATGTGCACTTGTGAAATTTTACTAAAAATAACATAACTTTCTAGATTTAAAGATTTACAGAAAGATAAAGGATCGTGAAAAACAACAACGAAGGGAAGAGATGAAAGCAAAAATAATTAGTAAACAACAGACTTTAATCAAGGAATTTTGTGGACGTACAAACACAGATTATCCTTCAAATAACATTGCTCTCTCTGAATCTTCAAATTCTTTTGACAATGAATCACTGGTGAAAGTCAGAATAAGATGCATTCCTAAGGAAAAATATTCTGAGGAAACAGTGACAAAAATAGATGAGAAACTAACAAAATCTCACAAGGAAAATCTCACTCAAAAATCTGATAGAACGCATCCTGAACACGATCATGTCAAATCTCATCAAATCAAACCATCACAAAATGAAAACAGGCAAAATATATCTAGATATGTAGCAAAAGACAGTCATTTGATAAATAAGTGTAAACATGATGCAAAAATAGAGCAACAAATAAAACCAGTGGTTTCAATACAAGAATCTTCAGCAAATGAAGCTGTTTCTTCAGATCATGTGATTAGACCACGATTAAAGAGTGCTACTACTGTATCAGAACCAATTGGAAACATACGCACACAAAGTGCCTCATCTGCAAGATCATCTGTTTCTAATATTGCACATAAGTCATGTTAGTTATATATGGTTACATATGAGTTGTTAAGATTTCTAAAGATCTTAGATTATTTATTTTGTTTATATTTAGTTATTCGACCATGGAGGTTGCAACCAGATGCACAGAAAAATGTAATGAATAAAAAATGTGATCCTGTTGCTCTTTATCAAAAATATCAACAGGAATGGAAGCAGATATCTTTTCCTGGAGAAGCAAAGCACTCTAAAGTCAGATGGGCTGTGCGAGAAAAGATGCTAGGTACAGATCCACATCCTATGGTAAGACTTGTGAATTATTATATTTGTTATAAATAATAACAATAACATGTTATTAAAGTGTTTTACTTTTTAGCCACTTTCAAGGAAATCTACAAGTATGCCAATATTGAAGAAGAGATGATACAAAAAGAGTAAAATAATTTATAAATATACGGAAGACTGGTTCAATCAAGGCCATAATCAAACTGTTTCACTATATATATATATTTTTTTTTTTAATGACTCAGTAATGTTAAGTAATATTTAAAATGTACAAGCAATCTGTATATATGTATAAAACAATTGCATTGAGAACTGTTCTTCAATGTTGACTAAGTTTAAATGGAACCATTAGCCGCCTAAAATCCGATCTATTCAATTGAAAAAGCAATTTTTCTTCTATCAATCTAGCTGCCTGTTCTGTAAGCACCAGAGTGTTGTGTTTCAGCATGCTATATACATTCAGACCTGCACATATAAAAGATTGATTAGTTTCATATAGACATGTATAAAAATTCTGGAATATATTCCTTATTAGGAACAAAAATTAATTCAACAATAAATTACAATTAACATAGCTAGGTTTACACATGTAACAAATTTATCTTTCATACACATATTTGCTTACCATAAACAGGCATAAGATTGATGTGTTTAATCTCATCAGTAGCTAATGTAATATTCTTAGGCATAATATCATAGCTATCCACGATGAGAACAGATGGTCCCCAGTTCCTTTCCTCTACCAGTTGCTCGATATAGGAACATTCTGATGTAGGTATTTCCAAATTATTAATTATGTGTAGATCATCTTGTGCAAGTTTTACAGATAACATTGATGTAAGACCTGCTACACGAGTGAAAAAGGGTAGCATATAAAAATGTGGTGTAGGAGAACGGGGACCATGTGCTCGTCCACCACCTCTCCATAGTGGTGAACGTATGCTTCCATGACGAGCTCGTCCTGTTCCTTTTTGTGGCCAAGGTTTCCTACCACCACCTCTTACCTCGGTACGCGTTTTTGTATGTGCATAACACTGAAAATCAGAAAAATATAAACAATATATACGCGACACACAAGCGATTTTTTCACAGATATATTATGTGACACTAACCACCCACCGGTACATCTTTTGCCATCTCACATTTTGATGAATGATATCGATACGCGGTGTAGCCGCAAATATATGTGGATGTAAAGTGACAAAACCCAGCTTTTTCTCTTTTATAGTATCCAAATTCTCCAGCCATACTTGCCGAGACTTCTGGTAAAGTGAGTTTTCATCATCGTATTGTACTTTGGATATAATTGGTACGATATCCTGCGCTTTCGTTTGATTTTCAACAATCGTGCAATATTTCAACGCTTGATGAGTAGCCCCTTGCAACTTGTTAATAACGTTGCGAAATATTGACATTTTTTATTGAAAGATTAATCTTATTCAATTTTAAAACAATACTTCCCGTATTGGACCGAATGCGACCGAATAATCTAACTCGAATATCGCTTGGAAAGTGTGGTTATGTTATAGATGGTAAAAGAAAAGTTAGGTGAGATACATAGCCTAACCCACGACAGTAAATGATGCACCTCCATGTGATACGCAATGTACATAACTTATGTTTTATATATACGAAATGCATAAAGATATACATATAAGAGAATAATTATAAATAAATGACAGATAATGAGGGACTTTGCAGACAGTGTAGCGAAACTTTGTATAGACAAGTATAATTCTCTAAAGAAAACTGGTAAACCTACAATTAATGAATGGACTGTATTGTGTGGCATTATTTTAAAAGATGCTAGTGGATCGTTGCATCTTGTAGCACTTGCCACAGGGACAAAATGTTTAGGAGAATCAGAATTAACAAACAGCCCTCAAGAAGAAAGAGGTTCACGATTGAGTGACTCGCATGCAGAGGTTCTGACTAGACGTGCATTTATACGTTACTTGTACGATCAGATCGACTTGACTCTGAGTGGTTCGGACAGTACAGTTTTTAAGCGAAATGATAAAAATAAAATAGAACTGAATAGTGCCATATCATTCCATTTCTTTTCAAGTCAAACACCTTGTGGAGATTGTTCAATTTTTCTCAAAGAGAAAACTTCTGATGATAATGGGCCTCCATCTAAGATTAGGCGACTTGATGAGAATGAAAAGATAATCACAGAATCATTTTATAAAGACATATATAGAACAGGTGCAAAATGTATGAAAGAAGAACAGATACAAGATTCTTATTTACCTGGTATAAATTATCATATAGTGGGTCCTTTACGTACTAAACCAGGTAGAGGTGATCCTACAAAAAGTTTATCTTGTTCTGATAAAATAGCAAAGTAAGTTATAAGTGAAATTTACCAATAAAAACATTGCATTGTATATGTGTAAGCTAATATTGTTTCAGATGGCTCATTCTTGGATTGCAAGGATCATTTCTATCATTGATGATACCATCAATAAGGTTAGAGAGTATCACAATTGGAGGTGGTTGTCCTTTTTCTTTTGATGCAATGGAACGCGGATTGTACAAAAGATTTAATAACAAAATGCATAATCCCAAGATTTTTCAAGCAAAACTCAGTTTTATACATAAGAAAGGACAGGAACGATATCATCCTTGTCCAAGTAGTATTATATGGTTTGCTGGGAGGAATAGGTATCAGAAATAAGTTGATGATATTATAACATATATATGTCTGTATTGCTTGATTAATATTATATTATAAAATTGTAATTTTATTTAGTGTACTAGAAGTGGCAGTTGCTGGCAGAAAACAGGGAATGACAAAAAAGAAGAAAGGTAATAGTTTATTCATAAGTAGACGAATGCTTCTGCAAACCTTTTTGCAAGTTTTGGACAAGCACCCAAATTACTATAGTGAAATAAAACATCCAAAAAAGATCACATATTATGACTGGAAGCAGTGGTCAATAGTATATCAAAATAAATGGAGACAATTACAATTTGAAACATTTCAAAATTGGCCATATAAACCAGTAAATTCGCGAAACTTTGCATTATGAAATCATCTCATAAGTGCCAAGTTTATAAATACGTTTTATATATTACAAATATATATATACACGTTGTTATATTAAATATAGAAATAAGTATAAAAATATGTATTTTATGTACAATTTTATGTATTATAATGTTCGTTTACTTATATTAGTATAACCTATGCCTAAACAAGTTAAATGGACTTGTGGTAACAATTCTTCTTCTTCTTTGACTGGTTCTATTTTAAAAACAGTTCCAAAGAAATCTCGTAAGTCACGTAAAAATTGTATCCTGAAAATTCAACAGTCTTTTTCTTTTTCTATATTATATAATTATAAACAAAAAAATAAAATAATTGTATTTACATTGCTGGAGTTAGTGGACCTACTATAACTTTGGAAACATCCTTCTTACCAAGAGCCATAAATACTGCAGTCATACTTTGAAAAACAGAGTCTACACATCCGTTTCTATAAATTTGCAAAATTACAAAGGGGTTTAAGTAATAGAGATGTAAAGTCTTTTACCTATAGATCTCATCCAAAAGTTTCATTGCAGCTTCTTTGCCAATATCTTCAGGCACACATGGTAATGATCCTGTTGTCATTAATGGCGAGAATGCTTGTCCACTAAAGAATACTTCTTTAGTAGTTTCTGCTGTCAAAGTGACTCCAAACCCTAGTATGTGTTATACATGATAAACAACAAAAAGAAATGTGAGTTATCTAAATATAATTATGAATCAACTATATACCTGGAGACTTTCCACTGGCTGATCCTTTGCAATGATCTGTGTGAATATAAATATCTGGCAGAAATTTGAGGAGAATACCTTTGGCTGATTCAACAATACGATTAGCAACTGCTGGGGAAACTCTTATACTGCATGCAGTACCTCTAACACGTTTTACCATTCCACTGTCTTCTAGCTATATAATCATATTGCCCAAAAAATAGTGATATATTTATATAATATAAAAAAAAATTATATATATATATATGATTGATAAGTACCTGTATCGTTTTAAGATTGCGACTGATTGGACATTTAAAGCATACTTCTCCACCTCCCAAAGGTGCTGCTCCTCTCTTACAAATTTTTAGTACAACTTCATTATCACCTGCTAGAAATTTCTTTAGTATTGGTACACCAGCAGTCAAAATTCTATCTACTGATGGATCTATCAAGAATTATCTGGATAAGTTAGAATAATTAACAGTTAAGATATATTGTTAATATAATATATAATACCTGTAGAATTGTTAGTTATTCCTCTAAGCTTCAAATCAATAGGCTTTTTACAAAATGGAGCAAGTATCATAACTCCTTCTAAATAATATCCAATACCTCTTTGCAAACTGCAATCATGTTCTAATTCACCACCGTATAATAAACCAGGAATATAATATATACTAGTACCACTTTCATTTATCTCAATTTTTGTGCCATTGGTGATTTTATCCAGCATACGGATGAAACTAACTTCATATTCTGTTACAAATAACATATTGTTATTGTTATATATAATTACTGGAAAACTACAAACACTAAAAAATTATGAAGTTTTTATAAGATTTTAATTATATAAAAATATAACCATCTTGCATATTATCAAGTTTCATAACATTGTAACTAACCTCTAAGACCAGGATCATTTTCTTTTCTCCGAATATTTATAATTCTGACTGGCTTTCCGGATAAAGTTGACAGTAATAAACGGTATCTCATATAATTGCTGCCTTCGTATGTAAGTACTCTATTCTTTATTTCGGTGGGCATTTTTTAATTTTTGTGCAGCGTTAACACACAAATTGTGATAGAATTCACGTGTATCGCCTCTTTCTCTCTTTCTTCCTCATTGACTAAAGCCAGCGGACCGCCGTTTTGGCCGCTCTCATGTTCCTCTCTGGATGTAGCATCGTAGTTCCCCTCCCCAAATGATTGCAGATGACGCACTTTCCCAGTGTGGAAAGTCACTGGCCGCGTTCAGTAGAACAAAGGCCGCGTTCAGTAGACTCAACGGTTGGACAACATTATTCGATTTTCTACTGAATCTCGCTCCTGATTGGTAAATACTTCTGGGTCTATGAAGAATCTAAAAGAGTGCTCCAATCATCACTAAGACAATAATCATTAAGCGCTCTCTGATCACTTTGTTCTACTGAACGCGGCCAAAGTGATCAGAGAGCGCTAAGTGATTATTGTCTGTGATTGGAGCATTCTTTTAGATTCTTCATAGACCCAGAAATATTTACCAATCAGGAGCAAGATTCAGTGGTAAATCTAGTAATGTTGTCCAACTGTTGAGTCTGCTGAACGCGGCCACTTTCGTCAAAATCGCCGTGTGTTGGCCGCTCTCAAGTTCCTCTCTGATATTACCTCGTCGGTTACCGGAGAGTGGCGTCGGAGCAGTGGCTTACACACCCAGAGCCATCTATTGAATTGAATTGAATTGAAATACCTCGTCGGTGCCTAGATGTAGATCTAACCTCACCTTCTAGAGGTTGAAAACTCTCAATAACCTATTTTAACTTACAATAAGTAGTAGTGTGGTAATATGGCTTCTATTAATTGTGTAAATATTTTTATAATCACACAAAGATTTATATTATAAAAAATTAATAAATTGTGCAAATGTGTCAAAAATGAAATTATATAGTGTGAATAATAAATTAAATTTTTATTATTCTTTATTTGAACATTTATAATGAACAGAACAAAATTACAAAATATTTTCTTAAGGCCGCTTAAACAAGTCAGAATTAATATCAACAATGCCAACTGTTTTAAGATGCTATCAAAGATAGCATTTCATACTGTATGTAATAGTTACAGTACATCTTGCACAAATATCACACAAGATTTAAACTTTGACTATCAACAGCTAAATAATATAATATTAGAGCGACATAGTTCAACACAGCAAAATAACTTTTCCCATATGTTTTATCCTCGGTTTGTTTCTCCTGTAATTTTATGTAATAGAAAAAGGTGGCTGGAATATAAAACTTATCATGCTAATCAAAGCTATAGTGGCATCAGGCATTTTTCAAGCACTAACATTGATGTTATTTCTGAAGTCAAAGCTCCAATGCAGTTCAGTGGAATTTTCAAAACAATGTCAGAGAGTACACCTATTAAAATTGCACAAGATTTCTTATTATGGATGCACGACTATACAGGCTTGCCATGGTGGTTAGTTATTGTACTTACCACTGTTGTTATGAGGGCAACGGTAACTTTACCATTATCTTTTTATCAGGTATATATATATATATATATATTGCATTATTGTGATATTTTTATGGATGTCATAATAGCAACAAGAATAATGTTTCCAGCAATATATAATTGCAAAATTGGAGAACCTTAAACTGGAGATGGATGAAATAGTTAAAGAGATGAAGAAGGAAACAGATTATGGAGTATATAAGTATAAATGGTCAAAAGAATATGCTACACGTTTGTACACTCATTCTGTGGGTAATATTTTTCTTTGCTTGTTTTCAGTATTAATGTATAACAATATACATACGTATGTATGTTATTACAATATTTAATCTCTAAAAATTTGTATGCAATAAATATGCATTTTTGTTACTTTGATTACAGGTGAAGAAACAATGGAATAACTTAATTATTCGAGAAAATTGCCATCCAGCGAAAGCTAGCATATTGGTCCTTGCTCAGTTACCTTTATGGATATCATTATCGATGTCTATCAGAAATTTATGTTACATGTTACCCAAACAAGATGCCAGTAAGTAAAACAATGCTGAAGTAAAACAGGAATTACTATGTTGTTCCTTTTCTTTTTTAAATAGGCGCTTATGCCACTTATCAGGAGTTTATAACTGATGGGTTTCTTTGGGTCACAAACTTGACTGTAGCAGATCCCTTTCTACTTCCAGTAATGATGGGATTGTTTAATTTAGCTATTATAGAGGTAAATTTCTTAAATATTACGAGGAAAATGTATATAAATAATGTGTGGAGAAATCAGTGTGTACTGGCAACTTGTGTAATTTTAATTTCATACGATTTTACAGATAACTCATATGAATAGGATAAAAGAAACGACGAAGTTGACGAGATATATGATTTATTTCTTCAGAATTGTTGTCATTGGTATGGTTCCTGTTGCCATGTACGTGCCATCGGTAAGTTATAAAGAGATTCTGTAACGAGATTAATTAAAGCTACGAAGAACGATATGAAATGTTTGTTTTGCAGTGTGTGAGCTTATACTGGGCGACTAGCAGCGCATTTGGTCTCTTACAAAATTTAATCTTGTTGTCTCCGAAGTTACGTCGATTCGCAGGTGTGCCAGTAACTGCCTCGGAATCATCGCGTCCGTATTCGCTACTTCGTGAAAAGATAATAGCTAGATGCAGCTTGAGGAGGAGGAAAATAGAAACGTCCCCGAGGTCATAGATATTTTTCATGATACGAGGAAAAATTCGTGAAAATTTGCAGAAGTCTTGCATTATGTTTCTTCCTGTTTACGCACGCGTATATGTAAACACGCTACTTTTATAAAATTTTTCTACATAATGACTGAGACATTTCTAATTATCGAAAAAAAATTAATTTAATTACGATATTCGAGCAACGTATACGCAACGATTTCGTAGAAATTTGTACAATTGTCTTCGTAGAAACGCAATGTTTGTGACAGCGCCAAGTAGTCCACGAGTCACTGAAATAATTATGTGTTGTTCTCAATGACGCTTAATATCTAAATAAATGTTCGCGCTCGCGTGAAGAGCGTATTCTGACGATTAAAATATTATTAGAACATATTCTGACGAGTAAAACATTATTGCGACAACAGGTGTATTTTTCTCTCCTCGACATTGCCGCTGATGCGCACGAAGAACGTTGATTTATTTCACCTTTACCCTCTGTGCATGAACCGAAGATAACATCCCTGTTATACAAGCGTATAACGAGAAAAAAACACATTCGTGTGATAGCAATGTAACATTTCTCTCTTTTTCCTTTTAATCGTGCCTATCATAGATTTTGTGTATATAAAGTCGATTACTGAACGATACGTGGCAATTCAGCTCAAACTCACGATCAGAGAACGACACTCAAAATGAAGTCTTCGGCAGTTTTATTGTGCTTGATGCTGTGCGCGACGCTTGTAATAACGCAATCGCAAGTAAGTACTTCATTTTACGAACGCTTGTCGGGGATTATCAACGTTGATGGGAGACTCGATCAGTCGTATGAATAAAAGTGAAGCAAGTACTCTTATCGCAAAAGTCCGGAAGCATCGAGGGAATCCCATAATTTTGATGTCGCGATGATATTTTCCGGGAACGATTTCTGGGAACGATAGTGAAACAAAAAAATCAGATGCAGTTGTTTTCGAGTTGTCAGCAAAGACGGGGGAAGTCAGCAATCGAGTTTAGCATAGTTTGATATAATTATCGCGTCGATGTTCGCGAAACGTGAAATAATTATATGCATAATTAAAAAACAAAAATGTACGTGAAATTGTTTTTCCCGTAATATATATGTTTTTAAATGTACACTTCCAAAATCGCAAGGTAAATAAAAATGTCACGAACGAGGCCGAATTGGAGACATTTCCGCCGGAACAATCGCTTCCGCAGATAAAACACGCTTCTTCGCGCACATCCGTTCTCATAGCATTCGCCACGGCCTCTTGTAGGAGGAAACGCTTCCTGCTTTTATCCATCCGATTTGTTCTCTCTTTTTTGTCGTAGAGCTAATTGAATGATTTGTTCATTTAGATATTGCCCTATCCGGGCGACTGCTCCAAGTATCAACAATGCGATGCGAGCGGTTGCTTTGTTATCAGCTGCGGTAGGGGAACAGAATTCAACCCAGCTATCAATACCTGCGATTATCCTCTGATGGATCGCACAGGATGTAACAATCGTGGCTGAGAGTCCCGATGAGAGTCTTGGATGGGAGCGATTTTCGTAAAGGAAATGCTGGACGCTTTTGCAATTCTCCGACGAACGCGACGTTTGAGCGTTAAATATCTGTTATTACAAATATCTGTTAATACAAATAAAATTATGTTGTTGTATGCAAAAATAGATCAACACGACCAATATTGCGTTATTATCGCGTTAGCATAATCTGTTTTAATCTTCTCGCTTGCGTCAATTTATGACGCCAGATATAAATCCCACCCATGCTATGGACACTTCCGTTGGGTGAATCTCAATCTCGTGAACTTCGTCACAGTGAATGTATAACTCAGTGTAAACTTCCCGCTATCGTCGATCGGACTCGGTGAAGCGAATTAAAAGTCGCCAAAAGAAACAAAAGAAAAAGAACTCTCGAGAGCCGCCAGACGCTTCCAGTTTGCTGGCGAAATTTCAGCGTAACCTTTCGGGGGAGTCGTTCGAGCGATCGTTCTCCGCTCCGACGATCGATGTATCGCCGCGCGGCAAATTCGAGATCGAGCCGAGCGGCAAAATGGATATCATCAGGCTGAAGTGCCGGCGCTCGGCACTTTCGCACGCAGATTGATAATGCGGACGCGCGCGGGCTCTCTGCGGAAATGCAATCTGCCGCGCATCGGGAGCGACGATCGCGCTGCGGTAAACTGTCATCGTCGCTCATGATAGCGGCGAGGAGCGGCCGCGCGACGGTGGGAGACGACCAGACGGTGTCCGGCGCGCGCGGACGCGACCTTGTGTAACGTGTCGTTCTGCAGCTAACAGATAAACGATTTTTCTCCTCGCCGATAAATCTCGTCCTGTGTCCACGACGTAATATTGCGTTCGTCACGTTGCTGGAAACCACGCAGTTTCCGCGGTGACGACGACGACGACGATCGGCCACCAGTGCCGGCGTCGCTCCCACTCAGAGGCCGACGTGAGCCGCGAATAAATATCACGATCTTCCGGACACGTTCGTCTAATTGCGAATAGATACCCGAGATCGTGCAAGGATGTGGTTCCGTCCGCTGGCCCTGCTGCTTCTGGTGTGCTGCTGCCACTTCGCCGCCGCCTCCAAGAGGATAAGAGTGGTGAGTGCGAGTTCCTTTGCGGCGACCTGTTGTCTTTTCTTAAAACACCGAGAGAGCGAGAGAGAGAGAGAGAGAGAGAGAGAGAGAGAGGGAGGCAGAAAGAAAGCTGTCGTTTCGTATCATGCAGTTCCGTATCGTGCAATTTCATTTATGTTATCTCATGTCATTAAAGCATCGCTCTGCCGGATATCCCGCGGCGTCGTTTTTGGAGAGGTAAAGTCGCAATGAGATTCATGACGCGCCCCGCAGTTTACCTCATCCGCGGCTCGCAATTGTTTGAATAAGCTCGTGAAAGATTCAACGTTTGTTCCTCGACGCGTCGGTTGACTTAAATCGTGAGTTAACCGAATCCCCGTTCGCGGTTCTGGTTCTTTACTTCGGCGGAAGAGCGAAGAATCGATTAAAGTCAGATCGAACTCCTAATAGACTCGGAAGTTTGCAGAAGCTCCGTCCCACGTTTGATGCTTCCGCGAGCGTGTGGGCTGATAACGTTATCGCGGGTGATATGTTGCAAATTTGTAACAGCGCGTTTCGCGCGCGGACAGCGCGAGCTTAACGCATCGAGTGATTAATCGAGCGATCGATCTCCGTTCGAAGGAGCCTAGTTGATGAAATCTCCTACGTAAAAATGAATACGTATCATCGCTCACGCAGATAAGAAATGCCGAAAGAATAAAAAATGTACGTACTCGGCGGGTTCCGATAACACCCATTCGTTTGTACGTACGCAGTTTTACATCGAGAAGAGACTTTTCTCAAATTTCTTTCTCTTTGTCTTCTCCCTTTTATCCATCTCTCCTTTATCTCTGCCCCTCTCTCTCTCTCTCTCTCTCTCTCTCTCGCACCGTCATTTGCAGTCATCACGCAACGACCAATCACACGCTCGACCTCATTCACAACAATGTTTCCCATATTTTCGACACATGAGGCATGCTCCAGGCATTTTATCACCTTTTCACGTAAGAGGTTCAAGCTGAAAATGCTTTCGAATTTCTCCGAATTTGCCTGTTTGCTCCCAGGATGCACAGACCGAGCAAAAAATTGTCAGGGCCATCTTCATGAAACATAAGGCCCCGATAAGGTTGAAAGTAAAATGCCCTAAAAAGGGATGCCTCATTATTATCACATCAGGCCCCGAGATGGAGATCTCTTAGGCATATCTTAAATTTTACGAAATAAGGCTTTGGTAACGGAAAACTGACAAGGGCCTTAGAAGAATTTTGTAGGGCTGCCTTAGATCTAATAAATAAGGCTTTAATAGAGAAAGCTGATGTGGGCCTTGGAAGGATTTTTTGAGGATGCTTTAGATATACAAAATCTAGTTTTGTTATAGAAAATTAATAAGATCTGAAGCGTGTAATAAAATTGTCATAGTTTAGAATTGTTTTAGTAGATACGCTCTATCTGGTTCTTCTAAAGATTTTTTAATTATACATTAAATTAAAAACAAATTTTATTAGTTTTATTAGTTGCCATATTCATTAGTCCCTTCCAAGAATCTTTTAGTATTACCTTCGTTTTGAAATACGGTAAACTTTAATAAGAACAGTAGCAGGATTTTTATGCGTAAAGAATGCTATATTTTATTGTGTAAAGTACGCTTTTATTTTTAATAAATAAAAAGTTCTTGTTGTATACTAACAAGGTTATAAAGAAATTACAGTCTAAATTTCTTGGAGTGAAAAGAACGAATAAAAATATTTCCTTATAAGGCCCTATTAATATTGCCTTATAAGGACCCGTTAAACCATTTGACCCTTGCCTTTCCATCCCTAGGCCTGATCCATCACTAGGGCCTGATTAATATGAGGGAAAAATAATCAGGTCCTTACGAGAGCCTTATTAATTTTTCTACTCGGAAGATCCTCATATTTTACAGCCTCTCTTTCTCTCTCGCATTCGCTCCCTTTTCTGACTTTTCTTTCTCCACGCAGGACGGCAAGTCTTACACGGTGTCGGCGTATCCGGAGGACTGCAGGAAATACGTGATGTGCAGCGAGGGCAAGTGCAAGCTGGAGACGTGCGAGCCCACCTACGTCTTCGACCCGGTCACCTCCACCTGCACTCACCGGGCGCGCGGCTCCGCCAACTGCGACTTCAAGCTCTCGCGGAAATCGCGTCACGGCTGAGATCGCCCATCATGTGCACCGCGAATGTATATGAAGAGCTCAAATAAAACGTTGCGTTGCAACTAACAACAACAATTTCGTGCGTTTCTTGCATCCCCCGCCCAGCGCCGCGCCGCGCCGGTCCTTTTATTAGGCTGGCTCGCGATAATAATCGTTAACGAGCGGCGAATTTGCTTCATCGTCAATTGACAAACAGTTCTGTTTGTAATCGCTTGCTCGTATGTGTGTGTGTGTGAGCCGATGTTTTCTCTCTCTCTCTCTCTCTCTCTCTCGCGCGCGTGTGTGCGCTGCGTGAGAAAACAGCCACCGCAGGTCAATAATTTTCTTCCTTTTCTTCCTCTCTGTCTCTTTCTCTCTCTCTCTCTCTCTCTCTCTCTCTCTCTCTCTCTCTCTCTCAGCCTCTCTCTGTCTCACTGTACTCTCTATATTTCTCCTCATTTGCCGATCATCTGTCGCATTCTCGCGCGTCCCTTCTTCCCGTCGCACGCATTCTTCGGCTCTCGGGATAACCCTCGGACTGTTCAAGCGATAACCTTTGGGCTTCCGTGAATCAGCTTGCTTGTTTTCCCGGCTATCTGCTTCGGGATAAAGCTGCCGCCGATCGGCTACCGTGTCGCGATTTTACGAGGAATCGAGGTTCAGTGTAGTACGATGCTCGGTCTCTCGTGGAGGTACTGAAGATGACGGCGTCACTTGATCGCTTCCTCGTCGCGCTCTGCGCCGTCCATATCATCGTCTTCGTCGGCGCGGTACGTGGTGGAATCGTTTCTTTGCGAGTGGCTGTCTCGGTGGTGCTTGCGCGTGGGGCCACTCGCAAACGGCCGTCCCTCTTGTCCAGTGCTTAAGACCGAGCGCGCGGGTTCAGGAGCTGGGGAGCCTCGGAGCGGCCGAGAGTTCTGCTGGTCGTGGAGAACGTCCGGGTCTCTCATCGGCCTGGAAAGGCGCTCACGGTCTGGAAAGGCGCGTGCGACTTTTGCGACGACACGCTGACGAAGACGCGAGTCGACTTGCAGTGCGAGGTCTCCTCGAGATTTCCTCGTGGCTCGCGCGAGCAGAATTCTCGACTCCGAGAGCGCCTCTCTCTTCCAGGAGAACTCACGCGAGCGCACGCTTGATTTGCTTATCGGCGGAATAATACGATACGCATTAACACGAGTGTCGGGCTCGGAAACATTTCGCTTCGTTATGTCGGCGAATCGTAATAACGACATTTACATAACGACATATGTTCGGGACACAACGTGAATTCGCAATTATGTGCGCGGCGCTATCAGGCCGCGCGCAGATGCGTAATTTATTAGATAAAGGCTGAACACACACGTGTGTCATCCACACACACACACACACACACACACACACACACACACACACATACACACATATGGTTTTTTCTTCTTTGCTTGAACTCGCTAGACGTCATAGCGAGACGCTGTTGACACAACCGCCGTGGATTTGTTTTTGCATTAATCTGAAAGCACGCGCGAGCGTTTTTTGCGATGCGAAACTCTCGTTTCGTTCACGCGCGCGATATCGATCTGTGCGGTACGGTTGTGTTCCGCGTGCGTTATTAGGACCGTCCCAAGAATCTCCGCGGAGGCTTTGTTTGGTAGTTATCTTCGTGTAAACACAGCGTAATCTGCAATAAGCAGCTTCGTACGTACGCGAGCGAAGGTGCTTATTACCGGGAGAAAAGGAGACGGAGATGGCGTTTGCGACGTCGCGAGTGGCCGACTTATGCGTGCCGATTAATTGCGTGCGCGCGTTTGCCTCGCTTCTGTTAATATTTGCCGTTGTAGATCTACGATCCGAGAGCCACGACTACGAAGCCGCCGGAGCGTCGGGAATCGGTGCTGCCTTGGCATTCGGCGGCCAAAGGGAACGAGTCGGGGATTCCAGCCGAGGGATCTCGCGCTGCGAAATGGCAAACATACGACGACGACGACGACGACGACGTGCCGTCCGAGCCGGCTTGGGGCCCTTGGCGGAAGAAACCCGGCAGCGAGATCGAACAAAGAAAGCTGGTCGATATCCAGGATCAGCCGGCCGAGCAGGCTCCCGAGCGACAGCATCGTCCGGGAGCCGGTGAATGGCAACAACAGGAGAATCTGGAGCAGCCGCTTTTCCGGCGAGAGCAGCCGGATAAAAATCACGGAGGCCTCGCGGATGCACCGAAATATGGGAGCCGCACTCCGCCGCGGAACACGATCGATTTCGAGCATAAACTGCCGCCGAGATATGACGACAGCGAGGAAACCGAGGATGAGGATTTGTACGAGGGAGTGCCTCTCGACAGTACGGTAATTTTCCTCTTCTTTTTTCTGTTTTCTTTCTTTCTGGCCAACACGTTTGGACCCGAGCAAAGAATTGTGAGGGCCATCCTCATGAAGCATGAAGGCCCCGATAAGGCTGAAAGTAGAGGATGTCCTAAAAAGAGATGCTTCACCACATCAGGCCCCGAGATGAATCTTTTAAGGATACCTTAGCTTTTAAATATAAGGCTTTGATAAGAGAAGCTGAGACGGGCCTTGGAAGAATTTTTCAGGGGTGCCTTAGATTTTACGAAATAACGTTTTAACACAGAAAACTGATTAGGGCCGAATATTTTTACTCAAGCGATGATAAAAATATTGCCTTATAAGGCCCTATTAATATTGCCTTATAGGGCCCTATTATATTGCCTTATAAGACCCTATTGATATTACCTTATAAGGTCTTCATAATATTACCAGGCTCTTATCGGAGCCCTATTAATTTTTCTACTCGGCGAGTTCTTTCATTCGGTAAAACGTCACGTTTACGTGTGCATCTTTACTCATTCTTACCTGCCCGTTACGGCGTGAATTGTTTGAGCCTACAATTCTCTCACGCTACGACGGACGATCGAGTGACCGTAGATTACTGTTTTGTGCAGAAGCCACGCAAGGAGAGCATCCTTCTGTCGCGAAAGCCGCAGCACACGATCGCGCGGTACGATCCGCGATCGGGCGTGCAGTGTCCCGATCGCAATTCCACCGGGCAATTTGTTTATCCGCCCGACTGCAAGTTCTTCGTCAACTGCTGGAAGGGCCGCGCGTTCGTGCAACCGTGCGCCCCGGGCACGCACTTCAACCCCGACACCCTGGAGTGCGACTTTCCGCACAAAGTGAAGTGCTACGAGGGCGAGTCCGCCGGTTACACGCAGCCGATTCACCCCGAGTCTCAGGTCGTCCGGAATCCGCACAAATTGCGAGTGCGTTTCTCCCGACAGTATTTTGCATCGCTTTGCGTTTGCAGATGCGAGAGAAAAAGAATCTTTTTGTCCTTCAAACTGACCGACGCTCCCGTTGTTCCATTCGCTGTTGAGAAAATTAATGCTGCTCTCGCAGCCCGATTGATCGGATTAATTAGCAATTCGTGCCTAGCTTAATTAACACGCGTAAAGAAAATCTCAAGTGAGACTCGCGCGTGGAGTTAATCGCTCGCTCAATCGGCAGGAACCGAAATGCCCGCCTTACCTGACGGGTTTGCTGCCGCATCAGGGAGATTGCAGCAAGTTTTTGCAATGCGCAAACGGCGCGACCTACGTTATGGATTGCGGTCCTGGGACCGTCTTCAACCCCGCTGTCGGTGTATGCGATTGGCCACGTAATGTGGAGGGCTGCGAAGCAGGCGAACGGCAAAATGGTATTTTTCTTTTTGTTCGAAAAGACGAGACGAGGAACGATCGTCTGGAAGCTTTCGTTTTTGTTTCGCCGAAAATTCCAGGTACCTTCAAAGCCGAGGAGGACGTTAAAGCACCGCTCACACCTCCGAGTCCGCAGACGCACCCTTACGAACACAAATCGGAGTACACCGAAGTGAAGAGGATCGCGTGCCCTGCGGATTTCACCGGATTACTGCCCCATCCGGAGACGTGCAAAAAATTCCTCCAATGTGCGAACGGCGCCACTTTCGTGATGGACTGCGGCCCCGGGACAGCTTTCAACCCTCTGACGACGGTCTGCGATTGGCCGCACAAAGTACCTAGCTGCAAGACAGGTGATTGTTAACGCATCATCAAATGCCACCAAACGCGCTGATCAATGACCGCAAATTCGCGATTACGTCTTGACCGGTCATAAATTATTTGCAGAGTGTGCGAATTCTCCCGGAAGTCCAACATTCGTACAATTAATTAACCGTGCAATGTAACATAGAAAAGTATTCTTCATGTTCTTTATATCCCAATCGCGCGATACATCATTCAAGAAGACCTTCGTGAAATACTCGTACCTCCTGAAATACTTGAAGTAACAATTCCGACAATAGCGATCTCTGAACGACAGACAAACCCGCCGACGGGGCGCACCGGACAACAAATGTCTTCCGGCCACCATCCGCACCATCTGGAGCAAGTGGCACCGTGTCGTGGTCGAGTTCCGGCCAATACAATCGCACCAGTGGCCCTCGCGGTCACGGCTCATGGCCATGGACGACGACGACGACGACGACGACGACTCCTAAACCGGCGTGGAGGCCAGTCACGACAAGTCCAAGTCGTTGGGCACCGATGTGGACAACCGCGAGACCTCCCTATGACCATCCCGGACACTCCGCTAATCACCATTATGGTCGCGTCTACGAGGACAGCCAGCATCGAGACTACGAGCCGTCTCGTCCGGAATGGCAGCCGAACGGCGGACACTTCGGGCGACCCGGCGACTACGATCATCACGCGTACGATGACCGCTACGACGCTTCCCGGTGGCCGGGAAGTCCGGTCGCCGACCGGGGCCAGCAGGGTACTCGCCATTTCGGCCAGTATCCGGGACAGTCGTGGCCAGCCGAGCATAGACCTCCCCCAGATAATCGGTACGGTCAGGACTACGGTCCTCCAGGTCGCCATTATCAGCATCGTTATCACGGCTACGGGCCTCCGCCACCGGCGAGTCCGAGTTGGGGCTCAGGCAGTGCCGCTGATGGAAGCTACGGCCGCGACTACCACGGGGAATATAGTCCGCATCCGGGCGGCGGCCATTGGCCTCCCGATGGCGATTACCACCGTCGCCCGCCTTATCGCTACGATTATCACTACTTCGAGGACCCAGCGGCGCCGGGCGAGCCGGATCAGAGGCAGTTCCCAGCGTACTCGCCGCCCGGGGACGGGACCAAGTTTGGCGCCGACGGGAATTCGCAGGCGAGTCGGCCCGCCGGTTATGACTTCTCGTCGGGCGGACGAGAGGATCACGGCAGGACGAGTCCTGGCTTCTATCGTCCAGACTTCGATCGCACTTCCTCGCCGGCTGGGAACGTTTTTCTAAACAGGGGCGATCCACTTGCCGGCAGGTGGAATCAGACCAGTCATGGTCCACGGTGGGGCAGACCGCCCGCACCTCCACCGGGACCAGGAAGCACTCCGTGGAGTCGGCCCGACGGGCCTGGTTTCCAGCCGAGTGCGTGGCACGGTCAGCAAAGTCCGGAACAAGCACCCGCTCGTCCGTGGGATCAAGGTAAAAGAAAAAAAATTTATATTGACGACTTCTGTATGATCGTCGAGAGGATGCGCGACGTTAACGGCACGCTCTGTTTGCACGCTGCATGAATTAACTTTGCGCCAAGTTGTACGTCATATCAGCTTATCATATCAGCGCGGCATGATATCATTTAACCAAACAGCGTAAGTTCCGCGCGCGCGAGGGTGATGCTTCCCTCTCGCGATAACTCTCGCGATGCATGTGATTTAATCGCGCGCGTGGAAATTAAGTCGCACTAGTTGCTGTGTCCCGCGAATAAATACCGGGAGATTTAATACGCTGCGTATAAAGAGGAGACGGTAGTTAAACACGATGAATAATCAGGATTAAGCGAGTGGACGCAGTCGCGAGAGCGCGAGAATTGCGAGTCCGGTGCGAGTTTCTCGTTCAATTATTCACGAGAATTCACTTTTAACGTAAGATTTCACGTCAGATCGTTAAATGCGAGTGAAAGCTTCATGTTCCGCAGACACTCAGGAGGACAAGTTCCATCAGTGGCAGTCGGGAAGCGACATTTACCAGCAAAGTACGGTCGACAGGGAGAACGACGCGAAAATGGCGCAGTGGGCGTCGAGGACGAATATCTTTTTAAGCCCGAAGGGCCAAGTAGCTTCAGGTCTGTAGACGGCTCTAGAATGTTTAGACTGCCTAATTTCCTCGCTATATAAGTAAGCAAACGTCAAATTATGATTGCAATTGAGTGTACACTCTCTCGTCAGTTATTCACGGTGAGTTGTAATTTAAGTGGAGCTGAGCCACGATTGAGCTCGTGACTTTCCGCAGACTCGAAGAACGAGACTCAGCGTCCAAGGACGAATGTCTATCCGGCTGGGATATATGTGGATGCAAACGGCGTGAAGGGTCACTTCATCACGAAGGAGATTGAGAAGAACCGAACGCACCCGGAGATCCAGCACTCGTACGACACTCGAAGACCTCTCGGTCGGAACGACACTTTGAACAGTATGCTTCTGAAACCAAGTCCAATTACTACCTTCCGGTGTCTCATTTGATTGCAACGATGATCCCACTGTCGCAACAACGTTCACGAATATTTGTCTGACAGCTCCCGCTTCAACAGACGCTGCCAACGATTACGCGCCGTCCACCGTCACAACGACGAGAACGGAGACCGTAAGACTCCCAAGTCAAGCTGTACCGTCGAGAAGAGGGAAGGTATACGTTAACACCACCACGAGAGGAACAGGGCCACGTGGCTCTCGCAACGAGAGCAGGTCCAATCTACCCAGTGTCTCGATTGAAGAGGATGATTCTTCGGGCGCCACCGACACGAAGCAAAGTGGCGAATTTCCGGACGCCGTCCCGCAGCAAGAAACGGACGATTACGTGGACGTGTTGGACGAGAAGAACGAGTGGAAGCCCAAATTGGTCTTCGAGAACAGAAGCGAGACCACCAGCACGGCTCCGTCGGTCATCATGAGGATCACCCCGAAGAAAACCGACGTCGAGCTTTTTAATATCGAAGCGGCGCCGTTCAAGGAAGGTAAGCAGAGAGAGACGAAGCTAAGAGTCGGGCTAAGAGTCTGTGCGATTGTCGATGAATGTCGGGTAAGTCGATCTCCCTTGGGTGGCCTCACGGCCTCTTCTTGTGTTTCGTCGCGCCGCAGAGTGTCGCATAATAACGCATCGAAGCTTCTCGCTATGTAAAGCTTTCACGGGGAACACTTCAAATATAAATATCGAAATTAATACAGCGCGATATCTCGACAACTGCGTTCAAACGCATATCTACTCAGGTTGTGTGCTTCAGACTCGTTCTGTTTTACTTCACACGTCATGATCATCGACGGAGAGGAAAATCACGCGTTACTAAAACCGTGCATGCGGCTACTCCGTCAAGTAACAAATCTATCATTTGTCTGTGAAAATGTTCCTTCACATCTTGGTCTGAGTGCAATTTCCGCATTTCGCATTTGTATGAGTGCAGTAGCGTGCGAAAAAGAACGTCCGTGTGTCTTCACGCGATGTCAACGACGACGAGAGAGTATCCTGCAATCTTCTCTTTCTCTCTCGTTTGCAGAGGAACCACCTTTCCCCGTTTATTACGTGCCGCCGGTGCGGCCGTTGACTCATTCGCGAAAGACCGCTCTACCTACACCCCTATCTGGCCAGGTGAGAAGACGAAGACGAGTCGGAGGATTTAGCTTTAATTATAATGAGGCAACAGCGTTGTCACCACTTATGTTGACAGATGATTCGCTTGAGAGGCGGCTCCGGCCCTGGCGATGGTTACGTTGAGGTCCAAGGCGCCTTGCCGGGTTGGGGCATTGTGTGCGACTCCAGAAACGGCTGGACATTGAAAAAGGCGCATATAGTGTGCAAACAACTCGGTTATACCAGGTGCGCAAGGCGAAATTGATTATTAACACCGAAGGTTGCGTGGGAATTATTCTTTCATAAATTCGTAGCTAAGTTATTAAACATCACGCAGTCGCACGCGTCTGTCCCGTGTGGTGGATAATTAATTGTTACATGCCAGATATTACATAAATTATTACACGCGGCTCAATCAATATTCAACCACACGCAATTGCGAAGATGAGGTCGTTGATAAATGTTTAATCACGTAAGTAGGTGTAGAAAATCGTTGCCTCGTTCTTTCGGTACGCTGAAATCCGCGTGTTTTCTAAGCCTCGCGAGATTCGCGATGAAGCAGCAAGTAGCGGGTGGAGCGCGATATGAGGAGTTACACGGAGGTCTTTTGTTCCTCGCAGGGGCGCCGAAATGGCTTGGCAAGGCAGAAACAATCGCAACGGAGTGCCAACTTGGATTGCGGCGAACACTGTAACGTGTCTCGGCAACGAGACCAGATTTCAATCGTGCAAGTAAGAGATACCTGCCGCTGCCAGAAACTGATAAGCGCTTCTCTCTCATTCGAGCGAACGGGGATTTGCTCGAGAAGCAAAAGTCCGAGATTCTCGCGCGGGCGCGCTTTAGCAGCAAATTTACAACTGCCGTCAGGCGCTTCTCGCTTCTCCCTTAAATCTGCCGCTGCCGTCCGCCCTTCACCCGCGACCTTCTCCGCGCGGATGAAGAGCGGATCGCGGCCGCGCGGCGGCGGCGGGCAGATATTCGCGCGCTGATACGCACCGTGATGATGATTATGCCCATCTAGATTCACGCACAATCGGGAGTGCCGCGTGGACAGGGACGCGATCGGCGTGCAATGCGTCTCGAATCGTATCGCGCATTGCCGCAAGGACGAGATACCGCATGACGGACAATGCTACCATTTGGCCGAGCCTGTCGGAGGGTCGAATCACGACGAGGTGTCGGACTACTGCAGGCGAAGGAACGCACGGCTCATCGACATCATCAGCCAGGCGGAAAATAACTTCGTGTCGGAGTGGCTGTCGCAGTCGTATCCGGAAGTTAACTCGATCATGACTTCCGGCCTCGGCTTCATCACTATGAATCTCCCTCTGTGGCTGTGGGGCGACTCCTCTCACGCCAAGTTCAAGTACGATCCCGACGACACGAAAGTTTCGATTGAGTTTGGATTTTAAACGATTAAATATTCCATTATCCGGCCGTGCTGCTCTCCCTCCCTCCCTCTCTCTCTCTCTCTCTCTCTCTCTCTCTCTCTTTCTCTCTTTCTCTTTATCTGTCCATCTATCTATTCCTCTCTCTCTCTCTCTCTCTCTCTCTCTCTTCTCTATCCATCTCGCAGTCTTGGTTAATCCGAGCGCGCAAACTTCGTTTCGCCGACTGCCCCGACTGTAATTCTCCTCCGAGCGCGAAATTTATTTCTACCTTATAAAAAATTAATGAATTCCAAAGGGATCGTTCCTCATAACCTCAAGTTTTATGTTGAACGTTTTGTTAGATTTACAAAGTGGTGGCCCGGCTGGATGAACGATACGAAGCAGCCACCGGCGGTGGGATCTCATCCTCTTTGCATCGTAATGAAACGGAAATTTCCATGTCACGGACTAGCCGAGTCGACGTGCGTCGCGGATTACTTCTTCTGGGACACGGAGGACTGCGAGGCCAGCTCGAGGGGGCACTCTTTCGTCTGCGAGAGACCCTACGACGACATCGGTAACGATGACTCGATTGATCGAGGGGATGATCATCGCAATTCGACGACACAGCACGCACGCGCGACTGTCGCCTTTTAGTCCTTTTAGAGAGCCTTTTAGAGAGAAATTACGCAGTTTTACATTTATCTTAAATAACAACGGGTCCCGTCGACCCGTTGTTACAATTACGGATCTTTAATCGAGACCGTAACGTATTACCGGAGATAATTTATGCGCTACGAAACTTGATCGCTCATTATTAAAATCGTCCCTCTCTCTCTCTCTCTCTCTCTCTCTCTCTCTTTTTTTCTCCGTCTGAGCGCAGAATTATAACGCGATTTTCTACGCGTCGCGCCGCGACAAATATTCCAAACGCGGAAAGGAAAGACAATTTGCGGATTTAACAATATCCGCTTTTCCAGGCTGCGTGTACGGCAAAGGAAATCAATACACCGGCAAAGCCAACGTAACGCTATCAGGAAACGAATGTCTCCCTTGGGCCGAGCAGAGAATCGCGCATCAACTGCGCGTGAATGTGAGCTCGCCTCTTTATGCGCCCGTCGAAGAGGCGCGATCCCAGCCCGGATTAAATTGCGCGGATGTGCGTTGTTGCAGGTCGTTAGCGAGGAAGTTCGGAAGAAACTGAGGACGCACAACTTCTGCAGGAATCCCAATCCCGCCAAGGAGTCGAGGCCGTGGTGCTTCGTGGGACCGGGGACGGGGAAGCGCGAGTACTGCGATATTCCCGCCTGCGGAAATATCGGTAGATACTCCAAGCTGATTAATCGAATCTCTCTCGCTCCGCGAGGCCGCGAGTCGCGAGGAGTCGTTCGAATGCGAATATCGGCATAGAAGGCACGAAGGCAATTATCATTTCGCTTTCAGACCCAAAACGCTCGACGTTGACTGGCCAATGCAAGCCTAGACATTTCGAATGCATGCCAGGAGAGTGCATCCCATCTCCGTGGGTCTGCGATGGAGAGGAGGTAGGATACACACACACACACACACACACACATACATACGCTGGACGCATCCATAGTGCAAAATAGCGCGACCTATATTTCCTCTATTTTCTTGAGAGCTCACGCGGGGGAGATAGGATTTAGCGAATTACGCCGCTCGTAGGTACGATTTTAAAAAGAGCGGACACGTTTGCGGGGAAATTTGCATAATTCGCAGGTGAGGTTGAGTTTCTGAAATAATTGAATTAAAGAATAAAAGAAAAGAGAAAAAAGAAAAAAAACTCACCCTTCCCCAAAGAAGCTGTAATAAGCGACTCGCGCACGTGTCCCGCGAATTAGGAATTTTAATAACGGAACGTGCAACGAGTCGGTACGCTCTGTAATTAATACAATTCGGACTCCGGGAACTCTCGCGAAACTTTTGACAACTCGGACTTTTAATCGTTGATTTGCCCGTTTCCCGCGCGGACGAATTTATCATCGTTCCGAGCGCGTCTCTCAATGATTGCATTAGCGGCCGCGTTTCTGCTTTAATCGGACTTCGGCAATTCGGTCGAGCGACACGATGATTACAAGGATGCATAATGCGATATCTAGGATTGCACGAACGGGGCCGACGAGAGGAAGTGTGCGGTGGACCTGAGCCTCTTTGAAAAATCCGCGAGGCATAAACTCGAGGGCTACGACGTGGAAAAATGGCTGAACACGCCGCTGAAGACCTGCGCTTTAAGATGCAAGGAGGCCGATTTCACTTGCCGCTCCTTTAATCACAAGTCTGTCCAAGAGTTATTCAAGTTATTTATTATCCGTCAAGCGCCGCGAGTGAGCGAGCGAGCTCTCGTTGATAAAAAAGGGCTTTGCCCCGCGTTAAAATAGCAAATGTATAATTAGCGTCCGTTCTCTCTCTCTCTCTCTCTCTCTCTCTCTCTCTCTCTCTCTCTCTCTCTCTCGAGCACTCGCCTCTGCCGTCATTCAACGGCGGGCTGGCAATAAAAATACACAGAGCTATTTATTTATATACGCGAGGGGGTAAAAAGTGTGAGTCTCTGTAAGGCTTTTTTCCCTTACAACGTCGAGCACCGCGTTCGTTCACGGTCGTTAATTATTCGCCGCACGCGATCGCTCGCGATTACCCGCGTATTTTGTTTCAGAGCGGAGGGTAACATCTGTCTACTCAGCGACAGCAACATCGGCCTAACTGGCGCGCTCAAGCCCGACAGGCAGTTCGATTATTACGAAAGGACGGAGAGGAGCGTCAACTGCGACGGCATGTACACTTGCAACAATCGCAAGTGCATAAATCAGACCCAGGTCTGCAACGGCAAAAACGACTGCAACGATCGCAGCGACGAGAGCATGTGCACCGCCGAGAATCTCGATTACGATATCCGTCTGTCGGGCACAAATAACAGTCACGAGGGGCGAATCGAGGTCAAAGGTGAGTACACGTGTAGTGAAGCGCGGGAAGTGAACGAGCGATGAAAGATAAAAAAAGGAGGAACACTCGGGACAAGAGGAGACAAAAGGGGAAGCGATATTCTCGCGCAGAAATTTTCGACCATTTATCCTCGGCGAAAACCTCGTCGAGGAAGCGCCGTCGTTTACGGTGACACTTTTCATACTTCAACGCAACACATTCATTCCGAGCTGAGCCTTAGATTTCAAATCCCGTCGAGGTAAAGCCCTTGACTTGAAATCGCAGCGAAAGAGAGTCACTCCGTTTTCTATTCTCGACCTCCCCCTTTCGATAGACCTCCGAAAGTACCTCGACATTTTTGCCAGGAAGAAAATGACAAATGCCGGCGGGAAAGCAGCGCCGCGTAAATAGCGAGCGAAAATTACGCGCCACGCGCCGTGGCGCGAGGCAATTCATATCGAGTGCAAACGCGATTCGCCGCACGGCGCGAGCGGGGCACGGGGGGGGGGGGCAAAATTTATGTGTCGGAGGCAAGACGGATCGGCTGTGTGGTCCCTTCTGAATGTGGTCGATTTGTCGAGCAGTTCTAGGACACTGGGGCCAGGTATGCGACGACGGCTTCGGCATGATCAATGCTGACGTCATCTGCAGAGAGCTCGGCTTCGCTCTCGGCGCGCTGGAAGTCAGACCGGGCGGGTTTTACGGGAATCTCGAGCCACCCACGAGATTCATGGTGGATCAGCTCAAATGTCGCGGAAACGAGACCACTCTGCGGGACTGCGACTTCAACGGGTAAGAATCGCCCGTTCGCTCGTTGCGAGTTGCATCCGACTCTGCATCGCTGACGCTGTTGTTTCGTGTCGTGTCAGATGGGGCGTCCACAATTGCCAGCCGGAGGAGGCGGTCGGGGTCGTCTGCAAGACCGCGGTCAACACCTGCCAGCAAGATCAGTGGAAGTGCGACAGCGTGCCGAGTTGCATACCGGCGTCGTTCATCTGCGACGAGGTGGTCGACTGCCCGGACAGCTCCGACGAGAGTCCGCAGCATTGCGACGTGAGTGAGCGGTGATGAGGGTGTCGAGAGCGAGGATCGATTCGCGGCTGACTACGCGAGACTTCCTCTTCATTTCAGGCGCCGTTCGAGCTGCGCTTGGTGGACGGCGACAGCCCGCTGCAAGGAAGGGTCGAGGTGAGACACCACGGGGTCTGGGGCACCGTGTGCGACGACGACTTCACGAATACCGCGGCGGCGGTGATCTGCCGATCGCTCGGCTACGGCGGCAAAGCGATCGCCAAGAAGAACGGCTTCTTCGGCCCCGGCGACGGGCTTATATGGCTCGACGAGGTAATTCGTTCCCGATATTCAGTCACCTCGCGCTCTCGATCTCGGCGAGGGATTCGCAATCCTCCTCAGGAGGATCCCTCAGGACTCCCTCCTGAGCGATCGTTTCGATTTTTATACCGCGGATCGCCCTTGCGATTTTTCGTCGCTCAGGCTGCATCAACATGCAGAGACATCAGCAATGGTTCGCTTGAGCGAGCAGATTACGCGAGCGATGGTTATTGTTACAGATATACCGGGTGTTTCAGACCACTCGGGTCACCCGGTTTTTTCGTTAACGCGACATTTTAGAGAACAATATTTCAGACAACAGTTGCAGGGCTTCAAAGGATCTCTGTTTACTGACGCTGATGAATTTGACCTTGGGATAACCTTGAAAAGTTCAGTCGAGATCAACATAAAAATCTTAAGTGGATGCCCCAATTTTTTATTACATCATCTTTTTCTAGCAATTAATTTGAACAACTTTTGTCTGAAATATTTTGTTATTTACTTGATATTTTTTGAGATATTTGAAGAAAACTTGATAACTTTTTCAATATTTAACTCACGATATCTCGCTAACTACTTGTCAGAAGAGAAACTGGTACTAGGTACTTTTTTGCTTTATTCAGTCTCAAGAATATATTGTTCCAATAGCGGCCTGAATTTGGTTAAATCGATGATTTTGAAATTTCCAAAAATCAGCAAGTTAACAAAAGTCAGGGGCGCTATTGTAAAAATATATTCTTGAGACTAAATAGAGCAAAAAAGTCTAGTACCACTTTTTCTTCCGACAACTAGTTAGCGAGATATCGTACGTTAAATATCGAAGAAGTTACCAAGTTTTCCTTCAATATCTAGAAAAAGATTATAGGCAGACGAAAAAATATTCTAGACAAAAGTTGTTCAAATTAATTGGTGAAAAAAGACGGTGTGATAAAAAATCGCGGTTTCCATTTCAGATTTTTATGTTGATCTTGACTGGACTTTTCAAGGTTATCCCAAGGTCAAATTCATCAGCGTCAGTAAATAGAGATCCTTTGAAGCCCCGCAACTGTTGTCTGAAATATTTTTCCCTAAAATGTCGCGTTAACGAAAAAATCGGGTGACCCGGGTGGTCTGAAACACCCGGTATAATATAATTATTACACTGATTGTGTAATCAATGAGCATCGATAACGATTCACCGTTGCGCCGGAGACATTAATCCGCGTCGTTCTTGCGGGACAGGTTTTCTGCCACGGCAACGAGACGCAGTTGTATCGATGCGATCACAGCCACTGGGGCCAACACAATTGCAATCATAACGAGGACGCAGGTGTAATTTGCTCACCCGGAAACGTTAACGACACCGAGGTAAATCGAAAGCGAGGCTAATGCCTCTCCCGCCGTGACGTAAGCCGAGCATTCTGTTTTGTCTATTGGATTGCCTCCGCAATAGGCGGCAGATATCAGATGCGGATACTCCGCTCTCCTCCGAGAGCGGAGATTGCCGTTATCGTGTAGCACGTCGCAGCATTCGGCTGTTCGGTATAATCACGACTCGCCGCTTGACAATCGCTCGCGATTGCTCGCGGTAATTCGCGCTAATAAACGTCGCTTCGTCGCGCTGCGTCTGCACGACTCGTTCTCGCTGATTTCTCGATTCTCACATCCTCTTCCTCGCCACCGAGCAGCGGTGGGCGATGGTGCCGGAACTTCCGGAGCGAAGCATCGACGAGATACTCCCGACCAACTGCGGCCAGCGAGCTAAGGATTTCAACGACGACGAGGACCTGATCTTCGCGAAGGTGGTGCACGGCTCCGTCGCGCCGAAAGGCACCTACCCCTGGCAGGTGAATCTTGCTTCAGCCGGATCACTCTCGCGACAACCGACGTCGCAGTCCTCCACCGCGTATTTAACGTATTGAGCGAGAAAGCGAGATCGACCTTTCCGCGCGGTCTTGCAAATATTTCCGACGTGTCGTTTAGGAGATTAACGGGGGAATTACACGCGGAAGGCCGTTCTCAAGGCTATCTTTGTGAACATTTTTTTACAGAAACGGTAAGATCAATGGACGTGAATTTTTCACACACAATGTATTGATGAATGTTCGAAGTATAAAATACATTTTATCGAATCACAAGAACCGATCAATTTGTAATTATAGATCAAAATGCAGTCATCCATTTGCGAGCTCTATGTTTGCTGTCGACATAATTCCGGACCTCTTTCGCTACTTTGAAACCAAAAAGTGGGAAAGATTTTTTTAAATATACGGTTGCCATTATAGCCCGTAGCAAAATGAAGGTACTGAAGCCAAGTTTGGAAAGATAATGAATGTACAAAGAAAGAAGTATCGAGAATGAAACTTTTTTCAACTTGTAATCATGTTTAAAAAAAAAATGAATAAAATAAAATATAACTGTGTTCGAGGTAGGGGCGCGAAAATTGCATGTCTTCTAATATATATTGTGTAAAAATTTCAAGTTATTCGGTTCAGTAGTTTTTGCGCAATCGTGTCGACAGTTTGAGAAAATGGTGTTTCCAGATAAACGCGTTTGAAGTTTTATGTATACTTTCCATATAGATAGTAACAAATTTATTTTATACTTTGAACATTAATAAATACGCTGCCAAAAATTCCAAGTCTATTGATATCCTGTCGTTTCTGCGAAAAAAATTCGTAAAAATATTGAAAACGGGCAGCTCGGTATGTAATTCCCCCCTTAAATTTGGACACTCATCTGCTCGGGGTTGAGGAATTTTGAGAACAAAGCGACGAGTGCCAATTGATACCGCGCGTTAAATACGCGAGCTTTAGGACTTGGACGACGTGCTTCTGCGACGTCAGCTGTTTCCAAGCCCTTGCTTCTCAAGGGCGTCGTAGCGACGCTACTTGAAGCGTCTGAAAAAACTCGCAGGACGCCGCGACGACGCGTATCGAGCTTCGAGGCTGAATCCGATTTAGCTACCTTTCAAAGTGGCCTGAAAACCGAAAGGCGTCGCCGCGACGTTTCGTGAAAAAATAAGACTGTTGCGGTGCGAAGGGCTAAAGGGCCGAAATTTAGGCTAGCATTCGAGTGCGAGGGCACAGCCGATCGAGTCACTGGTGCGGCGCGGTGATCGTGTCGCCTCTGCACGTGTTAACGGCGGCGCATTGTCTCGAGGGCTACAACAAAGGCACGTACTTTGTTCGCGCGGGGGATTACAATACAGACGTGAGTGAATTGTCGTTACATCGTCGGCTCACGCAAGTCACGCAAGCGTACTCTCACGGCGCTCGCGTGTCGCACCGTCTAGATCGAGGAGGGTACCGAAGCGGAGGCCAACATCGAGGATTACTACGTGCACGAGGAATTTCGCCTCGGAGGCCATAGGATGAACAACGACATCGCTCTGGTCCTACTTAAAGGCCCCGGCATCCCGCTCGGCAAGGATATCATGCCAATTTGCTTACCGCACGAGAACACCGAGTACCCGGCCGGACTCAATTGCACGATCAGCGGATTCGGCAGCATCGAGACGGGAAAGACGAGTAAGCGAGCTGCCGGAGGGGATTACCTTAAGCTCGCTCGTGCGATGAAACAGACCGTTTGTTTCTCTTGCAGCGCAATCGAAGGATTTGCGGTACGGCTGGGTGCCTCTGTTGGACCAGTCGATTTGTCGGGCTGGTTACGTTTACGGCGAGGGCGCCATCAGCGACGGTATGATGTGCGCCGGATACCTCGACGAGGGTATCGACACCTGCGACGGCGACTCCGGCGGCCCCCTGGCGTGTCATCATAATGGTAATTGATCGAATGATGAAAAAATCCCGAGCAGAACATCGTCCCGTGGCTGTATGAAAACCCCATCGGGCTTCAAATTTCAAATAGGGTCCGGATAACTTTATCGGATCCGGCGCGCAATAAGGAGTGAAACGCACTGCTGCATCTCAACTAGAAATTTTGATCAGGTTCACCTAACATTGATAAGGACCTAATAGAGTGAATGGCAGGTAATCCTAAGTAAGTCAGTCCTTATAATGTCCTAACGACAAATGAGTAAGGAAGACCTTTGTAAGGTTATAATGATTGGGTCTACATCAGGATCTTAATGTACCAACCTAGTGTATGATATAATATGGTTCAGTTAATCAGGTCCTTGTCGGGATCTTATTCATATGTACCTAATATGATTTGCATTATCAAGTTTTGACAAAAAATGTTTGGGTGCCATTTCCAAATATAAAGATGTTTGCATTGAAAAAACACTTCAGATCACTTGAATATATTTGTAAAATGCTACAGAAACTATCCTTTCTTTAGCAGACAATAAATAGTTGTAAAATTAATGTGACATGCAACTCATCTCTTTAACACTACTTTATGTCTTGTCACCTTGTGATATTCATTTTATGTTTCTTTCCCGAAACATTTTACAAGTATGCTCAAGCGATCTAAAATATTATTTCATGCAAATAATGCTTTTTATTTGGAAATGACATGAAAGAATTCTCAACGTGTCATTTCTTATTTCTAATATCATCATCCAATATAGCCGTGGCGAGTAATCAGGAGCCATAATTTGAAAAAAAAACGTAATAAGGATCCCATAAGGTAACTCAGTAAGGACCTGACTATGAATCCTTACTAAAGTTCTGATATCCACTGCGTTACATAACTTACTAGGATCCGATAGTATTACCTTATTGGGACCTGATGTCCAAATGAGGTTAACCTGATCAGGACTATGGGATAAATTTCTAGTCGGGATAATGCCCTGATAAAATTGCCTGAAATCGGGAAACCTGATGAAATGTCCATCAGGATCAAATCAGGCATCCAAATAATGACACGTCATCACTGGTCAGGGTATAATCCGGAAAATATTGCAAGACAATTGCCACATTCCGACCGGATAAGGACCACTCGAAATGCCTTCTTATGGCTTGCCAAGTCATGCCATATCAGGCATAAAAAATTGCCGTATTTGATTTCTGCTCGGAATATCATTGAAAAAAAAATAATCATGAGGGAGAAATCGGTAGGGGGAGGGAGGGGGGAAGAGAATCTCGCGGTGGCGCTGTTGAGGTCTGAAATATCTTTTTCTCCTCACATCACAGGAGCTTTCACTCTGTATGGAATCACCAGCTGGGGCCAGCATTGCGGCAAGGCGAACAAGCCTGGAGTTTACGTTCGCGTGGCGTACTACCGGCGATGGATCGACCGGAAGATCAAGGAATCGCTCGCGGGTAGATAAAGCGCGGCCACGGAAGATTCTCCGCAAATTCCGCATCGTACACATTAGCAAGAATCGCGAATCGCATGCTTTCGTTCACGACGATGCTTGGTTGGAACACAACGATAATTAGAGATATACTTACTCCGTCACACATATACTTACCGACCTCCAGTCTCTTCGTTCTGTGATGTTATTTATATCTCGAGAGGCTTTGGCAAAAAATAAAAACGCAGGTGTCGATCGCAGGATGCGCGGTTGCGAGGCAGCGAGGAAGGCAACGCCGACGGAGACGTTCGGTTGATTTGCAGTTTATTTCGTAAGACATCTTCGTTTCTACAGTAATTGTAATTGTTGCTTTTTCCTGTCGCTGTTACATGATTGAGCCTATCTTTTATGTACAATAGTCCCAACGTGTGTCTGACCCGATTCGATCCAAGGTAACAACTCAACGAGTGGCGTTTATACAGACCGAAACGTAAAACGTATTATGCACGGTATGCGGAGAGACAGAGAGAGAGAGAGAGAGAGAGAGAGAGAGAGAGAGAGAGAGAGAGAGAGAGAGAGAGAGAGAGAGAGAGAGAGAGGGAGAGAGGGAGAGACAGAAGGGGGTGGGGAAAAGAAAGAGAGAGAGAGAGAGAGTAACGGATGCATTCTCATATAAACTCGCGTACAGCTGAATTACATTATTACAGCGTCGCAGAGATTTAGGCTGATCAAACGCAGGCTAAAAGGTTCCGCTATTGCGCTCGCTTATCGAGTTACTCCCGCTAATATCGATCCTCTTTGAAGGAGGCATAGGGACGAGAACGAGCAAAAAAGAAACACCTTGATCGGCATACAAAACGGCGCGATATGGAAATATCGGTTCAATATAAAGCCCGGCGGAAAGTTGCCGCGCGCGGAACCGCGAAACTGAAACTCTCGCGCTCTCTCGACGCGCTTGCATCGATTTCTGTCGCGCTCGCGACCACGCGCAAACAAAAAGGAAACTTGCAGTTCACACGACAGACGAGAGAGAGAGAGAGAGAGAGGGGGGGAGAGGGGGAGAGAGAGAGAAAGGGAGGGAGAGAGGGAGGGAGAGAAAGAGGGACGTAAAGTTTACCGCCGAGGCAAGAAACGAGCGATCTCGAGCTGCAATCTCGCGAGCGAGGTTTGCCGCGCGGACAGAACGCGCTCGGCCGGCGGCGACAATGCAGCGCGAGAGGGAGCGATCAGAAAACTGTGAACTACTACGTCGCGATCGCGCAGATAGGACAAACAAAGAGTGAAGTTCGCGTCGCGGAGAGCCCTACAAAGGAGAGATAGCCTATCTACGTCGCACGGTGCAATTATGATCACTTACGTCACTTAAGGGAATGTCGATCGAAGAATACGCTTAGCGTGAAAATTAACGTTAAATCTAACTCGAATACACTTAATTTAGGCGATAAGGTGGCCCGAGTCCGTGTCGTCGAGCGAGTTGAGAGCGAGTTGAGAGAGATTAAATCATTGTTAGTGCTACTCAAAGCGGTGACAATCGTCGACCGTTAGAGCGGCGACTGTGCGCGAGCCATCTCGGAAGAATCGCGTTGCTGAGGGAACGCGTCTTGAGGCACTCTCCGTCGCGAGGACTCGCGATGAGGAAGCGATGAGGAAGCGACAGCCGCGCGTCCTGCGGCGCGGGCGTGTAATCTCGCGTAGATCATCAGGTAGAAAAGAGGAGGAGTGCGTTGCGTTTTGCGCGAGATGCGCGAGCCTGCGACGGAGTTTGAGCACCTCGGGCAGAGAGAAACGCGCGCAAACAACAACAGCAGCAGCAGCAGCAGCAGCAACAACGCGGAACGACGAAGGAAGCATGATGTTTCTCTCGTCGAGGACACGAATTCGGGCCGAACTAACGATCTAATGACTAGATGTTAAGCAAGAGTTACCGCCATCTTCCTCGATCAATCACTCGTCGATGATGAACATACTTCTTCCTTCCTTTCCTTGTTTCTTCGTTCGCTCTCTTGTTTCTCTTCCTCTTTTCTCTTCCAAAGTGGCGTTAGGCAATCTCGGCAATTGAGACCGATCGGCGATTATTAACGATCGCTTCTTAGTATCCCGACGCGGATAACGTGTCGGTTCCCGCCGCTCTCGCCGCGCCGACCCCCGAATTCGATTACGGCCTATAACTTCGTTAGATCTAAGTAACGTACAGATACGCATATTAATTGTATATATACACACACGACTTTCTTATGTACAGAATCGTTGACTATAGTAATAGAACGTCACTAGTGTTACCGAACGCGAGGAGAAAGGTGACGACAGGGGGGATAACTCGGAGCAGGGGGAACTTGATAATGAGAGGAGGGGGGGAGCGGGGGAGAGGAGGGGAGGGGGCTGGAGAGAAATTGTGGGAACGGCTTTTGCGTGCGTCTCATACGTGCACAATCGCACATTGTCGCGCTTTGGCGAATTCAGAGCGTTTTGTGTGTTTGTCTGCTGGTCTGTGTGGCTGCGATACAAAAATCGTACAAAACGACACGGTAGAAAAACGTCCGTCGCGGGGATGCAACGCAGTGTGTGAGAAGCGGCAAATGAACGGAGGGGGGAACGATTCCGGGTCGTACCAATGGAGATCGAGCAAAAGAGGCCGAGACGGGGCAGGGGGACAGAGGGAGGGGAAAAAGAGAGGGAAGGACAGAGAGAAAGAGAGGATGGGAAGATTCATGAACACGAATAATGATCGTAACGATCACGATGTAACGCTATGAATATTGACAATGTAACACGCGCGCCGCTTAAGATGGTACAGCGTAATTAGCCTTACTCATTAATCATTGATTTACGACAACATGCGTGCATGCGCAGTCGTCGGTCTCGGTTTTACGTATTACCTTAGTGCTTTTTTTTCTTTTTTTTTTTTCTCTATGGAAAATTGCCACGAGCTCGCGGCGCAACCAGATCTCGCTCGGATTCCCGCCAAGTTAGTAAGTTAGTTAATCGATGGCGATCGAATCAATATCAATCGGACGAAGGTGTCGCTTTTTTTTTTTTATCAAACACTTAGAAAATGGCAAGTAAAAACTGACGGATCGTAATATCGGCACTTTGTAAACTTGTAAACGTGTTAAAAAGATGCGTTGCGCGTCGCGCTAACGTCGAGTTTCGGCGCGTGCTCGTGCCTACTCTCCGCTTCTTCGTCGTTTAACGCTACAAACGTCTCCCGTTCTCCTGGTTCTCACTTCGATATACACATTTTATTCTTATGTGTAAAATTTTAAAAACATCTCTTATGTACAAATGAAAGGTGCGCGTTCGAGTATACGTACGGCGTGGGAGCGTTCGACAATCAAAAGACGACTCAATAATCCAGGTGTGTTTCCGACGATAAATACATATAAAAAGACACGCAATGAGGATGTCGATGGTGTGTGTATGTGTGTGTGTGTGTGTGTGTGTATATATATATGTGTGTGTGAGTGTATGTGTGTGTGACGTCGACAAATCATAATAACGGACAATCGCACTTCGACTATCATGCATGGACTCGTGATTACATCAATCGATTGATCTTAGACTCGTGTTTACAGTCGTTGCTCGAGCCTCAAGAGGCGCGGTTGCGTTTCTCCGTCGAATCGCGGTTACAGACGAATATCGAATTGACTCTCAGGATCCACCGCGCATTGCACCGCGTCTCTCTCTCTCTCTCTCTCTCTCTCTCTCTCTCTCTCTCTCTCTTTCTCGAGAGAGAGAGAGAGAGAGAGAGAGAGAGAGAGAGAGAGAGAGAGAGACCGATCTCGGCCGAGCTCGTCGGCTCGGGGAGAGACGCGACTATAAATACGCGTCCCGACGATACATTCGAGCTGAGCATTCTTCACGATGACCTGATTCGCGCAGAGCTCGCGTAATTTGTCTCCTCGATCGATAAATTATACTTTCTTTGTTACGCCATCTTTTCTTTTTCTGTACACTCTCCTTCGCGTGCTAAGTGCATCTCGCGTCTTCGCCTGTCTTCACCGTCCTTCGCCTCGCGCACCGAGAGAGAAATACCGCGCGACTTTAAATGCGATTTAAATTGCGACGAAAATTTTATGTATATATAAACCGCTCGGCTCGGCTCGGCTCGGTCGTTTCCACGTTTGCTCGGCAGCGCGATGAAAGATGCAACGAAAAGTATCCCCGTCAACGTGAGGAAATTCGCGGCGGCCGACTATTTCTGACAATCGCTATCGATCGTCTCGCTGAACGTAATGAGGAACGAGAGCGGATATGGAATTCTTATTAAAGACCGAAACGGGAACACCCGGAGCGGCAACGGAAAGATGGGGAAGCAAGTACCGGAGGTTTTTTTACCTCCTGTGACTCTTATCGCCTCGGAGAATCGTGAAACGGATCGGTCGCGAGGTCCTTGCCTATTCCTGCCGGCCGCGCGAAGTCGTGCGCGCGATTTTTCTCTCGGCCCGCGCCAACATCCTGACTGTGCCCTCGCTGTGCGAAATTCGACAGTGCGCTTTGTTTTCCCCACCTTCGGTCGCGCCATATCGCGTGCCATGGGCAAAGTTCACGTTGCCCAGGGAGAAACGAACACTTGGTCCCTATAACTGTTCGGAGAAACACATGTGTCTGCTTTTCTCGAATTCATCCGGGCAAGAAGGTATTCGCTGAAACGTGAAAGGAAACGAGCGTTCTATCTTTTGACATATTACGGCGGACTTGTGTGCTCTCGCTGCGAGCGATTCGTTTCTCTTTTCACCTCTTCTCTTCACTTTTCTTTGCTTCTTCGCGCTAGAGGGAGGCTGTCCCTCTTCCTTTCTCTCGACTCGCGGGAGAAACGCGTGTGATTATACGCGGGAAACAGTGACGCACGCGTCGAGGACGCGTCTCTCGTTCCAAGAGAGAGAGAGAGACACACACACAGGTAGCCTCGACATCATCTCTCGCGATATCATCTAATTCCGTAAATTTTGCGTCCTTTTAATTATACCTCGGCTACGTTTGACGGAAGGCACGGCACACTACAGTTTACGTCTTATTAATCACGCTAATTAACACCGAGCCCAATTCGTTGCCGGCGCAAAGCCGGTCGTGCGCCAATCGTCGGCGATTATTTCGCCTTCTTTCCCCCCCCCCCCTCCTTTCTTTTTATCCTCTTTCCGGCGCCCGAATGCGCTTTCCGGGGCCGCGGCTGCGTTTCGACCGCAGCTGAAAATTCGTCGCGGCTTGCGATAAATCATTCGTTAATCGAGTGGCGCCGCGTCGGCGGCAAGTATCGCCGGAAACCGGCCGAATCGCGCGCGAGCGAACCTTCCGGTTTACACGATACGCACGCGAGCCGCGAGAATAACACGGAGAGCTTCGCGACGCGTTTTCATGAAAATTGCTCGCGGCGCGTTTCTCGCCCGCCGTCGGAATTCCCGCGAGGCGAGCATCATCAAGTGACCGACTCCGCGCTCGCGCGCGATTTGCGCAGCCGCGTGATTTTCCCCTCTTCACTTCTTCTTCCCTGCGTTTCACGTGCGTCACACAGCAAAGAAACCGGAAACAAAGCTCACTGAGCAGGCGGACTATCGATACGCCGAAAAAACGCGCGAAGAGCGAGCAGCTTCCACGGCGGCGTCGCTTTGAGCCGAGGCGCTTTTTCCACTTTCCTCGACCTTCCTCGCCTCGATTGACCGTCCTCGCCGAGGTCAGTCCTCCTCCTCCTCCTACTCCTCGTCCGCTTAAGTACGTGCACGACGATCCTTATTGTTAGCGTTATTATTAATCATGACGACTTACTGCCGCGCGAGCTCGTCGCGCGCGGGCGCGCTTCTTCTTCTTCATCTTCTTCTTCTTCTTCTTCTTCTTCTTCTTCTTCTTCTTCTTCTTCTTAGTACTCTACAGGAACGACCTGCTACTGCTTTTTTTCACATCTAGGTGCCTGCGCGTTAGCGTTATATCAAAAGGGTTATGTACAAAATGATGGTGCGCGCCGATCGCGTCTCACTCGAGCCGCGCGAGCCTCGGCGAGTCTCCGGAAGGATCGCGTCCGGGAAATTCGAGCGGCAGCGGGAATCGCCGATTCCCCTGCGATCGCTTCTCCCCCTGCTCGCTCGAGGGAAAAGCCACCGACGGGCCGAGGGGCTTAGGAACTATACTTACGGCTACCGCGACACTGTCGAGCGAATTTCGCAGCCGCGCCCGTCGCGTGTCTCATTCGCGCGCCACGTCGACCGTGAAGGTCCTCATCGAGCCGTCGAGACTCTTCAGCCTCTGCTCCGCAGGAGTCCGCGAGGACCGACCTGCACAGTCTTTCTCGCTCGTCGAGCTCGCTGTTGATTCGTTCGCATCGAGATTGTTAATATCGCGGTAGTCGCGCATGTCGGCGAGTATCGTCGACGCCGCGTTCCTCCAACGAAAGCGTCTCGCGAACGAAGAAGGATCGAGCGTGAAGATTGGAGCTGGAAAGGTGATACGACGTGTGACGCCTTCGCGAATTAATCATTGGCGAATCAATCAGCGGCAACCGCGGTGAAGGCAAGGGAGAAAACAAAAGGACGACTGTGCAGACCGATCAGATCAGGTGTTTCCTCGACAGCTGTCGAGTCGTCACGACACGGGAAGGTCCTCGACCTCGAGCTGTCAGCTGTTTTCGCAAGACGCGGGAGACGAGTCGCGTGGATCGCCCGGATAATACTTTGCAGTCTGCTGTTGCTCTTCCCTCCCCGTCGCCTTGTTCGCGGGTAAACTCTAACTACGATTACGAATATATTAATATTTATAAATGTATCTTCATATAGATCTGTATATCAATACCGTTCCCATTCGGCATGCTTCGGCATAGCTCGTTTTCACTGGGCGTTCATCTCGGACCTGACAACACACGATTGCGCACAGATATTTATTTGCCGCTCGAGGCGATCGGGCGCGAAACAGCCCTTCCGCTTTGCGGAAGAGCTGTTTCGCGGACAAACGGTTACGCGCAATTTTTTTTTACGCGCAAGGACTCGACAGCGAGATTTTCTCTTCTGTGTCCACGTGCTCTTGCTTGACACTCTTGTTTACTCGTAAAAGTGAGGGGAAAAGTCGAGGAGATTTCTCGGAATAGACGTGTTGAATTAAGGGGACTGGAGGGTCAGGTTACTGAAAAATCGTGCTTGTTTTTTGATAATATTTTGTGACGAACTGAACAAATGTGCAAGAATGAAAATTTTACATACATTTATATAACACGTGAAGAGTAGAAAAATTTTGTTTATTAACAAATACTCATGTACGTCCACTTCAATTTTAAGCGGGTTTTCCTCGAAATTCTATTGTTCAATTTTTTGCAATGATTTCTCCGAAGCTGAGCTTCGTATCGATTTGAAATTTTAAAGCAATAATATTTGTTCATCTGGCTCTCAGACGAACCATGGACAATTACGTCAAAATATTTCACTTCGAGATATTAATTTTTTTGTTGTAAAAGAACTGAAAAATTTGGATTTTTCTCTAATAATAGCTGCCATTTTGTTAATTTTGTCCGATTTTTTTTCTAGTGGTTCTAGTGGTTCACCGGATAATGATGAGCCTTCTCAAGATTTCTAGCTAAAATTCGCTCTGATCGGACCATCGCGAGCCGAGATATTACTGCAAAAATTACAACTTGAAAAAAAAAAAGGAGAGTATATTTCAGCTATATATATCGTATATTTATGTGAGTATTTGTGAATAAACAAAATTTTTCTACTCTTCATATGTTGTGTAAATATACCTAAAATTTTCATTCTTGCACATTTATTCAGTTCGTCACAAAATATTATGAAAAACAAGCACGATTTTTCAGCAATCTGACTCTCCAGTCCCCTTAAGGGCGAGATTACATGCGGAGCAGGCCGTTTTCAAGGTTACCTTTACGAATTTTTTTTTTAACAGAAACGGTAGGATCAATGGACTTGAAATTTTCGCAGTGTATTCATTAACGTTCAAAGTATAAGATAAATTTGTTACTATCTATATACAAATTGAAAAAAAGTTTCATTTTCGGTACTTTTTTTTTGTACAGTCATTATTTCTCCAGACTTGGTCTCACTGCCTTTACTTTGGTACGGACTGTAATGGCAGGCGTATATTTAAAAAAATCTTTCTCGCATTTTGGTTTCAGAGTAGTGAAAGAGGTCCGGAATTAAGTCGGCAGCGAACATAGAGCTCGCAAACGGATCACTGCATTTTTATCTATAATTACAAATTCGATCGATTCTTGTGATTCAATAGAATTTATTTTGCACTTTGAATATTAGTAAACACACTGTGAAAATGTCAAGTCCCTTGATCTTACCGTTGCTGTTAGAAAAATTCGTAAAAGTAGCTTTGAAAACGGCCTGCTCCGCACGTCCCCCGCTAATCCCCCCTCCCCCCCGCCCCTTAACAACGCCGAATACGGAGCGAGAGCTGCGTCGTTGCGTGGAATCACTCTCGGCGATGAACGAAATTTCTCGCCAAGTCAGAGGTTTCGTTACGACCGGTACTCGAGGTGCATCGATATTGTCTCTGGGGATCCGATGAAATTTCGTTACGTTACATCGCAACGGAGGTCCCCCCCCCCCCGCGCCGGTTACAAGGCAATTTCGCACCGCGTCCCGTTTCACCGTTTGCCGATATTGCTCGATGCTTTTCACGGGGATAGCACAACGATCATAGGTTTTTCCCCGCGCTCGTGCGTCTCATGATACATCGCGATACTCACTTTAAAGCTTTGTAACGTTCCTTCTCCGGATTGTTGTCGGGCGGCTCGCACTCGAAAGACGCCAGCGCAAGTGCTACGGCAACAGAGAAAGAGAAGCCAGCGATTCAGAAACGATGGAGCGATCCCCGCGATATGCCAGCGACGGAATATGGATATTGCTTACCGTTCTCCGTCAGCACGGGGCTCGCCTGGAGGAAGGCAATGACGCGCGGATTCTTCTCGAACGGACAGGCGACTTGCTTCCACGCGATGAACTCGGTCACCTGCTTCGCCAGCTGCCAGAACTTCTCGAAGTTGATGTGGCCGTTCGGCAGTCTGAAACGCACGACTCAGCTTGAGCACGGGGATTAATCAGCGGAGGGGGGAGGGCAGGGTCGGATGAGCGAGTCTCGCAACGATCAAATCCCGCGCGCTCTCGCGGATCCTTCTTCTCCGACACGCGTTTCTTGTCCCAGAAACAAAGCCAGAAACAAAGCGTCTTGTTGCGCGCAAGATCTAGTCCAGTGAAAGCAAGTTGCCGACGGCTGAGTGGACGGGCCGTGCAATTCCGTCCGGTTGCAAAAACGCGCGAGTGTGGATCGCCGAGGATCCGGGGAGGGAAATATCACTCACTTGTTGCTGCAACCCTCGTTGAGGAAGTAGAGGTCCTTGACGAGAAGGCTGAAGAAGGGCACTACGATCCGCTGGCGTTCGTCTGTAGCGCCAGCGCTACGCCACATCGCGGCCTTCAGCGTGCTGCGATAGCTGCTGAAATTACTGCTCGGGTCCATCTGATGCTCCAAAATCGAGAACTTGGCAGACTGCACCTTCGACCACTGCAAGCAGCAAAGAAGAGACGCGTCCCGTCTACATCGCAGCTTACCCACAACGATGACCCGCCGGCGCGCGCGGCGGATCAGGATCGCGAGTCGAGTGGATCGACCGAAGAGCGGAGTGCCGAAGGACACGGTAACGCTGAGTGGATGGCGGGTTTCGGCAAAAGTTCCCGATACGCTCATTTCCATATTATGAGGAAAGTTTACGAGTGGAGCAAGAAGCGCGGGAAAGTACGCACCGCCCGCTAACATCGCGCCGGATCATTAACGTTGTCATCGTATCATCATACATTTGCAATCTATAATAATCCCGTGCGTTTTGCATAACCTTCCTGAGGATATTCATGATATTCATGCTATTCAAATGGTCCATTAAAACTTAATATTCCACCGGCAATCGATACTTATTACATTAATATCCGGGCTAGGCGCGGTTAGCTCGCGACACGTTGACGCGAGAATTTAATATATAAATGCCGCATAAATATTCATGCATGAGGCCGCGCGTGCATGTGTTGCATCAAGATGACATGGCGCCGGAGTAAAAATGCAAATGCGCGAAATTCCCATTTTTGCCGCGTCATCAGCTTCCAGCGCGATTATCGTTCGCGCGCACCGTGCACCGACAAAAATCCCCGATAGCCCACCCCCTCTCCGCCCCGGAAAATTAGCCGAATGTTATTTTGCGCACCGCCTGCCGCGTAATACGATATATACGCGACGTGCAACGCGAATCTCCGAGGGCTGGGCTTCTACGCGCGCGCAGTTCGTTTGTAGTTTTTTCCCGATTTAATCCCGTTCTTTCGTCCGACTTGGCCGCGAAGCGTCGTTCCCTTGAAAACGCGCCGGCAGTCGTTGGATATTTGCACTTAACGCGAGCCTCAGAATCGAAACGCGATCGGAATGCTTCTTCTTTGCTCGCTCTAATCTCGGTGCTTTTTACCGTAACATTCCCCTCCCCCCCCCTCCCCTTCGCCCCGATGCTGACAACTGCTTATCCAATTTTAGTCGACGTCTCACGTTTCTCCTTCCGCTCTCCTCGGCTTCTTACTTCGCGTTGAGTCGCGTTGAGATCGAGCGATTCTGCACGAGGCGTACAACTCGACTCAGTTTTGATTGATTTATCTTCGTGATTGTTAATTCAAACGATCAAGTTCTCAGTCCAAGACTGGAGTCTGTGAGCGCGCTGAGTGTGTTGGCAGAAAATAAAGATACACGCGTGTGTATAAAATAATAATAGTTGCTCCTTCGCGCTTCTCTTTGCACATATCTTCAGCGAGGATCTGAAAGAACCTGCGCAAAATGAGTGCCCGTTTTTCAGTTCCCATTCTTTTTAAATTAAATTTTATGCGAAATGATGGCTCATGATAAGACATTAATCACAGAAAAAGAGTTTTACATTGAGCATACGATTGGTTTCAGAGATATAAAGGGTCAAACCTATTGAGGAAGTTTGACACTAATAATCTAATAATTTTATCGCACGAATTTCTGCGAAATTCAGTATCTATGGGTTCTTTGAGTTGCTTATTACGAATTCGATGTCAGATTTAAAACATTCAAGATGGCGGATGTAATATAGCGGACACAAATAGTGAAACAATTATTTACTTTCATTAGAACTGTTATGTTATGTGGTTTTTTCGGCTAGCTGATTGCGAATTTTCTATCAGATTTACATTTACCTTTAGCGTAGGCAAGATGAAAAAGTTATTCAGCCAATGACGGCAAGATAAACTTCTAAATATAACAAATAAAACTTTATCCCGTTATCCTTTATGCGTCATGTAACGTATCAGTTTGAATTTGATTACTTATTGAATTTGATTGCTTATTACGAATTCGATGTCAGATTAAAAAAATCCAAGATGGCGAGTGTGATATAGCGGACACAAATAGTGACACAATTATTTACTTTTATTAGAACTGTTATGTTGTGGTATACTTTAAAAAACCGATGACTTCGGAACTGAATTTTTAGATAACTTTGATATTATTGGATATAATGATGTGTAATTATAAAGAGTCACGGAAACTGCAATGAAAAAGCACATCTGCTATGAAAAACCTTCAAAATATAACAAATAAAACTATCACGTTATCCTTTATATATCACGTAACGTATCAATTTGAATTTGATATTTTTTTTATGAAAAAACAATAAAAAAAAATACTTTTTCCACTCAAACATTGTCGTTGAAAAAATTACTTTCGAAAACCTAATAGAAAATTCGCAATCAGCCAGCCGAGAATATCACAACATAACAGTTCCAACAAAAATAAATGATTGTTTCACTATGTGTGTCCGGCATGTTGCACCTGCCGTGTTGTATTTTTAAAATCTGACATCAGATTCATAATCAGCAACTCAAAGAACCCATAGATAGCGAATTTTGCAAAAATTCGTGCGACAAAGCGTTATTAGTGTCATACTTTCTTAGTAGGTAATGGTGGGCCACTTTGACCCCCCTACATCTTTGAAAGCAATCGTATGCTCAACGTAAAACTTTTCTGTAATTAATGTCTCACCATAAACTTGATCCTTCGGCATAAAATTCGATTCCAAAATCGAGGACCAAAAAGCGGGCAAAAAATTGTCCCTTTTTCTTTGTCGAGTTTCGCTTCTTTCGCCTCGCTGCCACGTGCAGGTCGCATTTGGACGATCATATGTACTTCAGATCGCGAAATATCAAGTTAGCGGACGCGCTCGAATCCTATAAATATCTTCCTGTTTCGCGAGACCTTGTTCTGTCCGCCGGGACTTTGACTCCTGATCTCCTGTCTCGCAGGTGTCTCTGATCCCCAGAGAGTTCCTTCCGCCCGTCGCGCGGCGGGAGCCATTTTTCTTGGCCCGACTCGATTCGACCCCGAGCTGGAAACGCTCGTCTAGAGCAAAAACAGTAGCAATCGGAGACTCCTGGCAGATCCGGTAAATTGAAACTGGATGCGGCGGAGAAGACGTCGGAATACGATCATGGAAGGAACAGGAATCTACTTTTCAGGAAAGGACTGGCGGAAAAACTGGCGGTACGACGCGGGACGACGCGAGGGGATGCGAGTAATCAGGAATTTCCTTGGAAAAGCCTTTTTTTCCAGCTGCTGCGAGAGATTTCAGACTCGCGAAATTCGCGGTTGGTCAACTTACCGTGAGATTGGATAAGGTAGAAGCTGGTAAAAATGATCCCGCGAGCAGCGACTCGAGACATCGGGGAAGAAATTGATCAGCAAGAAGCCTCATTCGTATAGACCGCGAATGATTTCCCAGCAAATTGTTCCACTCAAATTATATCACCGTTCGTGGGAGAGTACACAGCTACCGATATATTTTAATCGTCCTCCGTCATTTAATCGTTCTCTCGCTCGGCCATTCGAGGATTCGCGAAATTTGCGAAAACTCGACTGAAAGCCGCGGTCGTTTTCCCAAGTAAAGGACGGATCATCTCGCGGAACGGGTGGAATTACAGGCGCGAGTTACCGTTCCAACCCCAAAAGAAAGTATTCTATTTGTAAAGTGATTTTTCCCATATTCTGTATAAGCGAAGCCATTGATAGAAAAAGGATTCCTCTTTCGATAAAGCGATTAAAGCGAACCATTCATCTAAAATTTATTAGATATTCTCTTTTTCTTTTATTTCAAGAGGATTTCCTCTTGTATCAATTAATTTCTCTCTTCTATATGACGAAGAATATGTTGATTTGAAAATTTTGGTGACTCCGCTTGTTCTGAAATTACTTTTCTTTCTCGTCGTCGCGAAGGTATTTCGTCGTCGTGAATGAGTTTTTTTCGATAAACGGAAGACCTTCTCCACACATCTCCGCAAAAGGCCGGAGATGTCTTTCGATTAGATTATCTGCCTGGTAAATTAGTATTACCTGCCGTCGGAGTCGCGCATATTAGATACAAGATGAGTCACGATCGAACGTCGCTTTCAGATGGAATCGAGTAAAGCCAAAGTTCGCGTATCTACAAGAAGTAGATGGAGCGAGGGAAAGAGAGAGAGAGCCGGGGGGAGGGGGAAAGAAGTGGACGGAAACACACGGACAGCGTGTGCAGACGAAGGTAAACATTCCGCTCGGCGCACTCTGCATTTTGCAAACCGGCCGATAACATCACGGAGAATCCTTTCATTGTACGGGATATTTACCTTGTTTAATTATATTCTTCGCTTCCGTGATTTCGCGTCGGAAATACGGCACGTGTGGATATTCTTTTTCTTCAGCCGAGAAAAGCTACGTTTGTAATGAAAATTGCTCCGCGTCTGTACGGAGAGATATAATTGAAAGATACCGGAGCTTCGAGGCGCATGCGTGCGTGCGTGCACGTGTGTGCGTGTGTGTGTAATTTTCCCGAATGTAACACGAGCGGCGACTAACAAAACGCGCGCGTCGGATCGTATTACGGATTAGAGAACGAGCAATTTTCAATTCCTGCCCTGCTGCCGCGTATAGCTCGCGATAATCCTCACCGCCGCGGCGGCGGGGGGGGGGGGGGAAGGGCGACCGCGCCGTGAAAAATTCGAAATTCACGGTTAAATTGCATTATCCTCGATTATGCCGGGCGTATGAAAAGATTGGTTAATTGCTCGCGATCTAACTACCGCCGGGCGTATCACACGTTGCTTTCACGATGGCCCGCGTGAATGGAGCCCCAGCGGCGCGTTAACACAAAAGTAGGGGGCGTTAAATTTTCATTAACGAAAATTACCGGCCAAACCGGCCGCGCGCACCTCCGACACGTTCGTTGATAGTTTCAGCAATTATTTCGCGCACATCCTATATAAATCAGCTGGCCCGGATTCAAATGAACCCTCTATATATATAGCACACACACACAGGCCGCTCTCTTTCGCTCCCTTCGTATCAAACTCGTCGGGGAACGAAGTAAAAAGCAGGTGTGGAGGAAGAGAGAGAGAGAGACAGAGAGGGGCGGGGGAGAAAGAAAGAGCGGTTGGCTAAAGTCGTAATTGAAAACTAGAAAAAAACTCTCTCCTCTTCACGGT